CGACACCGATTTTTTAGTCGAAATTCATGTCCAAATCTTACCCCAAGATTCGTATATAGACATGGGTCAAAAATTACCACCCCCATAACTCGGCCAAATCTCATCCAATTTTCACGAAGTTTGGCTTTTTCTTTATGGGTTTCCCTCTAGATTAATTTGGCATTCAAATCTCGACACCGATTTTTTAGTCGAAATTCATGTCCAAATCTTACCCCAAGATTCGTATATAGACATGGGTCAAAAATTACCACCCCCATAACTCGGCCAAATCTCATCCGATTTTCACGAAGTTTGGCGTTTTCTTCACGGTTTTCCCTCTAGATTAATCTGGCATTCAAATCTCGACACCGATTTTTTAGTCGAAATTCATGTCCAAATCTTACCCCAAGATTCGTCGTATATAGACATGGGTCAAAAATTACCACCCCCATAACTCGGCCAAATCTCATCCGATTTTCACGAAGTTTGGCTTTTTCTTTATGGGTTTCCCTCTAGATTAATTTGGCATTCAAATCTCGACACCGATTTTTTAGTCGAAATTCATGTCCAAATCTTACCCCAAGATTCGTATATAGACATGGGTCAAAAATTACCACCCCCATAACTCGGCCAAATCTCATCCGATTTTCACGAAGTTTGGCTTTTTCTTCATGGTTTTCCCTCTAGATTAATCTGGCAATCAAATCTGAACATCGATTTTTTAGTCGAAATTCATGTCCAAATCTTACCCCAAGATTTGTATCTAGACATGGGTCAAAAATTACCACCCCCATAACTCGGCCAAATCTCATCCGATTTTCACGAAGTTTGGCTTTTTCTTCATGGTTTTCCCTCTAGATTAATCTGGCATTCAAATCTGAACATCGATTTTTTAGTCGAAATTCATGTCCAAATCTTACCCCAAGATTTGTATATAGGCATGGGTCAAAATGTACCACCCCCATATCTCGGCCAAATCTCATCCGATTTTCACGAAGTTTGGCGTTTTCTTCACGGTTTTCCCTCTAGATTAATCTGGCATTCAAATCTCGACACCGATTTTTTAGTCGAAATTCATGTCCAAATCTAACCCCAAGATTCGTATATAGACATGGGTCAAAAATTACCACCCCCATAACTCGGCCAAATCTCATCCGATTTTCACGAAGTTTGGCTTTTTCTTCATGGTTTTCCCTCTAGATTAATCTGGCATTCAAATCTGAACATCGATTTTTTAGTCGAAATTCATGTCCAAATCTTACCCCAAGATTTGTATATAGGCATGGGTCAAAATGTACCACCCCCATGTCTCGGCCAAATCTCATCCGATTTTCACGAAGTTTGGCGTTTTCTTCACGGTTTTCCCTCTAGATTAATCTGGCATTCAAATCTCGACACCGATTTTTTAGTCGAAATTCATGTCCAAATCTAACCCCAAGATTTGTATCTAGACATGGGTCAAAATGTACCACCCCCATATCTCGGCCAAATCTCATCCGATTTTCACGAAGTTTGGCTTTTTCTTCATGGCTTTCCCTCTAGATTAATCTGGCATTCAAATCTCGACACCGATTTTTTAGTCGAAATTCATGTCCAAATCTTACCCCAAGATTCGTATATAGACATGGGTCAAAAATTACCACCCCCATAACTCGGCCAAATCTCATCCGATTTTCACGAAGTTTGGCTTTTTCTTTATGGGTTTCCCTCTAGATTAATTTGGCATTCAAATCTCGACACCGATTTTTTAGTCGAAATTCATGTCCAAATCTTACCCCAAGATTCGTATATAGACATGGGTCAAAAATTACCACCCCCATAACTCGGCCAAATCTCATCCGATTTTCACGAAGTTTGGCGTTTTCTTCACGGTTTTCCCTCTAGATTAATCTGGCATTCAAATCTGAACATCGATTTTTTAGTCGAAATTCATGTCCAAATCTAACCCCAAGATTTGTATCTAGACATGGGTCAAAATGTACCACCCCCATATCTCGGCCAAATCTCATCCGATTTTCACGAAGTTTGGCTTTTTCTTCATGGCTTTCCCTCTAGATTAATCTGGCATTCAAATCTGAACATCGATTTTTTAGTCGAAATTCATGTCCAAATCTTACCCCAAGATTTGTATCTAGACATGGGTCAAAAATTACCACCCCCATAACTCGGTCAAATCTCATCCGATTTCCACGAAGTTTGGCTTTTTCTTCATGGTTTTCCCTCTAGATTAATCTGGCATTCAAATCTCGACACCGATTTTTTAGTCGAAATTCATGTCCAAATCTTACCCCAAGATTCGTATATAGACATGGGTCAAAAATTACCACCCCCATAACTCGGCCAAATCTCATCCGATTATCACGAAGTTTGGCTTTTTCTTTGTGGTTTTCCCTCTAGATTAATTTGGCATTCAAATCTCGACACCGATTTTTTAGTCGAAATTCATGTCCAAATCTTACCCCAAGATTCGTATATAGACATGGGTCAAAAATTACAACCCCCATAACTCGGTCAAATCTCATCCGATTTCCACGAAGTTTGGGTTTTTCTGCATGGTTTTCCCTCTAGATTAATCTGGCATTCAAATCTCGACACCGATTTTTTAGTCGAAATTCATGTCCAAGTCTTACCCCAAGATTTGTATCTAGACATGGGTCAAAAATTACCATCCCCATAACTCGGTCAAATCTCATCCGATTTCCACGAAGTTTGGCGTTTTCTTCACGGTTTTCCCTCTAGATTAATCTGGCATTCAAATCTGAACATCGATTTTTTAGTCGAAATTCATGTCCAAATCTAACCCCAAGATTTGTATCTAGACATGGGTCAAAATGTACCACCCCCATATCTCGGCCAAATCTCATCCGATTTTCACGAAGTTTGGCTTTTTCTTCATGGCTTTCCCTCTAGATTAATCTGGCATTCAAATCTGAACATCGATTTTTTAGTCGAAATTCATGTCCAAATCTTACCCCAAGATTTGTATCTAGACATGGGTCAAAAATTACCATCCCCATAACTCGGTCAAATCTCATCCGATTTCCACGAAGTTTGGCTTTTTCTTCATGGTTTTCCCTCTAGATTAATCTGGCATTCAAATCTCGACACCGATTTTTTAGTCGAAATTCATGTCCAAATCTTACCCCAAGATTCGTATATAGACATGGGTCAAAAATTACCACCCTCATAACTCGGCCAAATCTCATCCGATTTTCACGAAGTTTGGCTTTTTCTTTATGGTTTTCCCTCTAGATTAATTTGGCATTCAAATCTCGACACCGATTTTTTAGTCGAAATTCATGTCCAAATCTTACCCCAAGATTCGTATATAGACATGGGTCAAAAATTACCACCCCCATAACTCGGCCAAATCTCATCCGATTTTCACGAAGTTTGGCTTTTTCTTCATGGTTTTCCCTCTAGATTAATCTGGCATTCAAATCTGAACATCGATTTTTTAGCCGAAATTCATGTCCAAATCTTACCCCAAGATTCGTATATAGGCATGGGTCAAAATGTACCACCCCCATATCTCGGCCAAATCTCATCCGATTTTCACGAAGTTTGGCTTTTTCTTCATGGTTTTCCCTCTAGATTAATCTGGCATTCAAATCTGAACATCGATTTTTTAGTCGAAATTCATGTCCAAATCTTACCCCAAGATTCGTATATAGACATGGGTCAAAAATTACCACCCCCATAACTCGGCCAAATCTCATCCGATTTTCACGAAGTTTGGCTTTTTCTTTATGGTTTTCCCTCTAGATTAATTTGTCATTCAAATCTCGACACCGATTTTATAGTCGAAATTCATGTCCAAATCTTACCCCAAGATTCGTATATAGACATGGGTCAAAAATTACCACCCCCATAACTCGGCCAAATCTCATCCGATTTTCACGAAGTTTGGCTTTTTCTTCATGGTTTTCCCTCTAGATTAATCTGGCATTCAAATCTCGACACCGATTTTTTAGTCGAAATTCATGTCCAAATCTTACCCCAAGATTCGTATATAGGCATGGGTCAAAAATGACCACCTCCATATCTCGGCCAAATCTTATCCGATTTTCACGAAGTTTGGATTTTTCTTCATGGTTCTCCCTCTAGATTAATCTGGCATTCAAATCTGAACACCGATATTTTAGTCGAAATTCATGTCCAAATCTTACCCCAAGATTCGTATATAGACATGGATCAAAATTTACCACCCCCATATCTCGGCCAAATCTCATCAGATTTTCACGAAGTTTGGCTTTTTCTTCATGGTTTTCCCTCTAGATTAATCTGGCATTCAAATCTCGACACCGATTTTTTAGTCGAAATTCATGTCCAAATCTTACCCCAAGATTCGTATATAGGCATGGGTCAAAATGTACCACCCCCATATCTCGGCCAAATCTCATCCGATTTTCACGACGTTTGGCGTTTTCTTCACGGTTTTCCCTCTAGATTAATCTGGCATTCAAATCTCGACACCGATTTTTTAGTCGAAATTCATGTCCAAATCTTACCCCAAGATTCGTATCTAGACATGGGTCAAAATACCACCCCCATAACTCGGTCAAATGGACATGAGTCGAAATTTCCCACTCCCGCTGGATCAATTTGGCATATAGATGTCTTAACACTGATATAAACACTCATTTGAATGCCACATTTATGGCCTTTAAAGATCGGACAACAAACATGGAAGCTATTTCTGGAACACATAGCGGGCTTTATTTTATGATTTTGAGGAAATCAAAGCGTGCTGCTATAAACAAAATTTATATATTGACTGAGGAGTACAGCGGATTTCCTAGTGAGCATATAAAAACAACAGATTTGTTTATTTGGAAACGCAATAAACAACCGATCGTTGCTTTGGCATAAGTACAGCCCCCCAAGAGAATGACGAATCGCATGCCCATTTACATAGGAATTGCAGTGAAATTAAGCATTAGCTTGCATTAAATCGGACAGAATCAAGAATCATGAATAGTGCCATGAGGTTAACATAAATATATACATATATATCTCACCCTCATCGGTGGCAATGTCCTTGAAGATGTCGTCGCAAAAGATGCTAATGAGGAGGGCGCGCACATTGCCAATGCACTCGGCCAGCTGAATGTTCTCCAGATTGGTTTTGCGCGTGGCCGGGGTGCCCGTGCCCAAGGCGGACATTGCGCTGGGCTGCGTGCTGGATGCATTGCTGAGCGCACGACTTGTCGGCTTGTCTGCAAGGCAAGAAAGTATAAGAAACGATTTGGGAAAGCCGACAAACTGATGGAGAATACCTTTGTTAACTGTCTTGGCTTGTTGGAGCTTGGAAAGGGCAGCGACAGCAGCAGCAGAGCCGCTCGCAGCCGTGTTGCTGCCAGACGCTGATGTTGATGTCGCTGTTGTTGTTGCTGTTGTTGTTGTTGCACGCTGTGGATAGATCTCGTTGGTGTATTTGCGCAGCAGGCGCAGACAGGACTTGTTGACATAGCCCAGATACTGAAGCGTTTGCTGCAGCTGCAGCGGCCTTGTGCGTTCGCGTTGCTCACGCAGTTGTGTCTTGAAGCAGTCCCAGGACCAGCTGAGCAGCACCACCAAACTCTCGAAGCACTCGCGGCTCACGCTGTTGGCAAAGGCCCGCGATATGCGTTGCACGGGATCCGCATCGAGCGGCAGCGGTGACTGCTTGCAGTCCTGGGTAACCAGGCGATACAGTATGGCGGGTATTTGGCCGGAGTTGACATCGGTGCCATTGTTTGCCTTCTTGCTGGACTTGAACGAGAAGACCACCTGATCCTCGGTGGTCACCGATGCCTGGCCGCACGAACCGCAATCGGAGGATGGGCCCGCGATGCGTGCCCAAACCAAATACCAGCGACCCGCCGCTGCGCTCACGGGCTTCGGCAGCACAATGTGATGTTTGCTGCGTGCGGCGCACTCGTATGGCACCTCCTTGGTTTCGCTAATTAGTACGCCCTCCTTTTCGTAGCCACCGCCATCGGCGCCCAGATCGTAGAGCTTCAGCTTGCAACTGTATTCGCCGCGTCCGCCAAACATGCCAAAGCCGCATATCACAATGTCCGTGTCCGCCGAGAAGCGCACCGCCTCCACACTGTGCCCCGAATAGCCCCAGCCGCCGCCAAAGTTGTCGAATCGATTCACCACCTGATATTCGCCGCTCTGCGCCTCGGCCGTTTGGTGCGGCTGCTGTGGCAGCGCCTGCTCAAAGCAGCCGGGTATATTGTCCTGTGCCGATGTCAGTATATCCAGGCAGGCCAGCAAATTGAGCGATGCCTGCGAGCGGGACACGCGCGCCTCCGCCTTGCACGGCAGCGACAATTCCGGCGACAACAGCGCCCGATAGTTGCCCGCGTTCTGCAATACAATTGAGTTCAGTTAAGCAGGCTCGATAAGGCATAAATAACTTCTATTTAATACCTTTACATGCACAACATATTTTAGAAAATAATGAGGAAAATAAACAAGAGTCGGTTCTAGTCGGTTGGTCCCGACTAGGAGACATCCCGAATCTCTTCCTTCTACTCATACAGACATGCGGACAGACGTCCTGATCAGCTATATATGTATTTACTTAATGCCTATGGATTAAATTGAATGCCACATACCACATCGCATTCGGCTATTTCGCTGGCCACCACATTGTGGCAGCGCAGCTTGCGGGCACCGCCATCGAATACCCAGAGAACATTGTAGCTGGGATCCATGGCGAAGGAGATTTGCGGCGGTAGCGCCTGCTGTTGCTGCTCGGGCGATGCCGGGCAAGCTGCTGCCTCTGGTCGCGGTCGAACGCGTCGCTGCAGTCGTGGCGAGGCCGCCAGCGATGTGGCCTGTGCCGTCTCCATATGCTGTTGCTCCTCAAAGATGTGATTGCGCGCCTCGTGCATGCTGCGTGACATTTGCTCATTGATGGGCACACCGGCCGTGGTGCTGCTGGCCAGCGGCAATTCGGCGACCAAAGGCGTCGCCACGTCCACATTTCGATTGATCTCCGGCTGTCCAAGTGGCTGTTGCGCCTGCAGCAGCTGCGCAAAGTTCGTTTGGCCGCGATAATGCGGCGTGCAGCTGCCATCGCTACGGTTTATCGAGAGCGTGTGAAATGACAGCGGTATGCTGGGTATGAGTACTGCAAGAGACACAACAGCATATTAATTACTGATGATCCATAAAACACAAATCGCTTGCAAGAAGAATACAAAATAACCTGGTAGATGTAAGGCTCACGGTTAAAATGGATATTAGAGACAAATTGTGAAGCTTGTAATTGGTAAAGATATCAGGATATAAAAACAGAAAGGTTTTGCATGCAAAGCCTAATTGAATGACCTCTTGTTCCTTTAAAAATTAATGATATCGTAGCACAAAGTTAATGAGACTTTGGACACTTTTAAGGAGCATGTCGAAACTCGTAGGTGCCAAGTTTGGCAAAGATAATATTTGAGGAATCTTTCGTTCTCTACGATACTGCTCAGGCCATATTTCTACAAGGGTATTTCAACTTGAGCACATGCCGAAGACAGCTTCTAGATGATCTTATTGATTGCATACTTACTTATGGTCTTTTTGTTGGCCACCACATGCATCTTGGGCAGCATTTGAGCGGTGATCAGCGACTCGTCAATCTTGATGAAGGTCTGATCGCCATTGGCACCGATCCAGGTAACCTTTTTGCCATAGCTGGGGCCCAGGCCGCTGCAAAGTAAAGAACATATATAAATTATATATACTTATGAATGGTTCTTGGTCATATTTACAAGACGGCACCGGGCGCACAGTTCCATAGAAACTTCTGGCGCTGCGCTATGAGAGCAGCCGTATTGGGCGGTATAAGAATTGTCTCCTTGGAGCCACCGGGCAGCACGCAGGCGGCCTCCTGTGTGGCAGCTTCCTCCTCCTGCTGCTGTTGCTGTTGTTGCTGCAACAGCTGCTGCTGGGCAATGGCGCTGTTGGGCACCGTCTTCTGGCCATAGTCGCTGGGCAAGCGACCCAGCTGACCCTTCTGATAGTTGCCGAATGTGTAGACAATGCCCTTGTGCGTGAGCAGCACCGTGTGATTGCTGCCAGCGGCCACCTGGCTAATGGCGCCCTGCACTTGTACGCGTATCGGACCAGTGACTGCCTGCAGATCTCCGCTGCCCAGCTGGCCGTATTGATTGCTGCCAAATGTGAAGACCTCGCCGGCCAGCGTGAGCACCACGGTGTGATGCAGGCCGCAGGCCACTTGCACCACCGGCGAGCCACTTGGCAGCTGCAGCACTTGCGGTGCCAGCGGTGCCACACGCGGCGGATCCTTCTCCAGATCGGTGGGTGTGCCGCCGCCGCCGGTGCAACCAGCGGCGCCAGTTTCCAGCTCCGAGGGTTTCTTTTCCTTGCGCCGCATGATCAGCGTCTTGGAGCGCTGCTGGCGCTGCAGTTCACCGGGCAGCGGCTTCAGTTCCGCCTTCGCATCGGCTGCAACTGAAGGCCAGACATTAGTATTAGGAGCAAATAGAAATAAACGTTGAAACCTACCAATCTCGCTCTCCTGCAGCGCAACGCAGGCGGCGCACAGCCCGCACTTGGCGCAGCCAGCATCGCCATGGCCGCAGGGACAAATGCTGCCCGCCAGACGCTGCTCCAGCGGCACATTCAGCGCGGACACGCAGCTGACATTGTAGCCGGTGCATTCGCGGCACATGACACAGACGCGGCACTGGCCCTGAACCAAATTATGATCATCGTAATCGCAGAGCGTTGAGAAGTCCAGTTTGTGGCGCAGCTTGTCGGAGTGCAAGCCCAGCAGTGCGTACGCCGCTGAAGAGCTGGGCACATCACGGACGGGCATCATTTTGTTGAAGACACGCCCACACTGACCCTTGTTGTTCAGGCCAAAGGTGAAGACCTGCCCCTTGGCGCTTAAAGCGACACAGTGCGCCTTGCCCAGCGCCACTTTGGTCACATGCTGATCGAGCAGCTCGCTGACAAAGCCCATGGAATCGCAGTGTGCCGTATCCTTGCCATACATGATCAGTTTGCCCGTTTTGGTCACAAAGGCGGAGGTGCCATTGTTGCAAGCAGCATGCACCACAACATGGCCATCGATTTTGGTCATCTTCTTGGGCTTCACCGCCTTTGGCTGGCGTCGATTCTTGGAGCTGTCGCCATCCTCGCCGCGACGCGCCGTGCCCGCAAAATAGACGGTGCCGTCATCGTTCACGAGCAGCGCATGTATACCATCGTGTCCAACGGCCACGTGCACAATGTGCGCCGCCTTCGAGACAATCAGTTCGGTCAGCTTCAGTGTGGGCGTGCGGCCCACACATTTCAAGCCCAATGCCGCCGACTTGCCATAGTAGTAGACACGCCCATTGCTGGCACGTACTAAACCGAACTCCTTGCCGCAGGCCATGCCCAGCACATCGGCATCGCGACACGGCGCCGGCAACTTTGGCTCAAAGCTATTGTGCGCCGACTGTATGCGCTGGATCTGCTGCTGATTGAGCAGCTCATCCTCGAATGCCGCATAGCCCAGCGTACGGAACTTTTTGCGCGCCAACTGCAGCGGCAGCTCAAACGGCGGCGGCTCGCTGCTGTAGCTATTGTGATAAAGGTTAAGCTTCTTAACCACCAGTGTGTCCTGCAAGGCAATAAGAGTAACAGCAAAAATGATCATTAACATTACAAGTTACATATAAGAGAGTTTTTCTTAATTGATTGCTGTTTAAACAAAGCACAGCGTGAACGGAGCCTGCATATTCTAAATGTCTGAGCGTCGGAACGACAAGCAAGAGGTCGCTGGTTCAAATTATAAATTTTTTATCAATTTCAGAGCGTACGCCTAGATGTGTGTTAGTTTTCAAGCTGCTTTGCTTATATCTAAAATTGGCAACAACTATTTTGCGCTTAAACAAAATACATTTGAGCCGGGCGACGCCGGGTAACCTCTTTCTGTTCATATATAGTTGTAGTTATAAATAGTATATGTTTTCATTAAATAGCAAAAATGTTGCATCTCATATTTTCCTACATATTGTGAAAACTGCTTCGAATGAAACAGAAACGTTTTAAATCCACCTGAATGGGTGAAAACTAACTCTGTTGGAAATTACTTTAGTACACACAAGAACAGTCATAAATAGTATATGTATTCTTTAAATAACAATAATTTAATAAGGCATAAGATAGGATTTCATATTTAGCCAAATATTGTAAAAGCTGCTTGGCACAGAACGGAAATGTTTTAATTTCACCTGAATGGGTGAAAACTAACTGTGTTGGCAGTTATTCAAAGATATATACTTTGTTTATGCATTAAGTGGTCTATATCTAAAAGGCTTTAAGCTATTTATCTTCCTATGAAGTCACTAAAATTGAAGAGTGCAGTTTTTATAAATAGAGCATGTTGATTTTCGGAATTGGAGACGTGAAACTGGAAATGAACTGTACTTGATAGATATTGATCAAGAAAGAACTACATCTGGCACAGATACGACCACATTAAGGAAAAGCTCCTCAAATGGTCGATCAACAAAAGTTTGTTACTTAGTGTATATATGTTAAGTGTAGTCAACTAAGAGATTTCTATTATGATAATCCTGACAGATGTACGCACTAATATTAAGAAAAACCCTGAATGGATATTGACTTTTACTCACATCGCGATTGCTGCAAATGGCATGCAATGAATCGTCGTCGGTGAAGAGCACATAGTTGAGGCCCTCGCGCATCGAGAGCATATTGAGTGGATTCATTGACTTGACCGCCAGCGTGTCCATGCCCACCAGCTGCAGCTGATCGGCGCTGCGTTTGCAATTGCGACGAAAATATAATTGCCCGCCGCTGTAGCCGAGCCAGGCGTTGCGTTCGCGACAGAACTCCTCGTTCTGGGCATAGATGTGTCCCTTGTAAGAGCCACCGAAGCCGGTGCCAATCTTTAACAATGCACCGCCATAAAGGACATAAACAAAGACGCCATCGCAGGCCATGGCTGGTGCCATGTGCTGCTGTAGAACCGTCAGCGAGGGCAACTTCAACGCGAACTGCAAAATGTGAAATTAACTTTGTATTTCCACGCATTTTCCACGAGTGTATTACTTTTCGTACTCACCTCATCAACCAGAGAATTGTGCGGCACTCCATGACTATGGAAATCGGGACGCGTTGGCTTATTGAGCGCTGCGCTGACAACCGTATGCTGCAGTGCAGCCAGCACGGCGGGCAGCTGGATAATCTGCGCTGAGAGCTGCCTGGGCGACATCAGCATGGCGGCAATTGCCTTAAGCATTTTGCCCGTATCGCCGCGTGCAATGCACAGGCCGAGCAGGGCGGCACATGCCATTGCCGACCAGTTGGCCTCGGCGCCGGTGCTGGATGTGAGCGCCGCCGGCATGGTGGCCAGATCTAGCAGCAGATCGTAGAGCGGATTGATAAGATCCTCCGGTTCGAGTTTGAACGATTCCGGCTGCTGGCCCTGGATGACATCGAGCAACGCCTTGAGCGCCTTGGTGCACAGCAGCGGTTGGATATGACGTGCGTCCGCAATCAGTTCGAAGAGACTGCGTAGTCCGGCGCCGACAATAAGCGGAACTGTGGCATAGACCGGTTCGCGCTCCTCAGGCTCCTCTGCATCCGAGTCGGCATCGCTATTGGCGCCGTTCGCTGTCCGTTTGTCTGCTTGCCCGGCAGCACCAGCGCCAGCTGCTGCACCGCCAGCGCCACCAGCTGCACCGCCGCCGCCCACAGCATGCTGCGCATGGCAGGAGCATTCGACCAGATTGCTGACCATGCAGCTGCTGGCGCAGACCAGACAGCACGAGGAGCCCATATTGCCGCTCCATTTGCGAAGCGCCGAACCGGAGCCATTGCCACCATGTCCGTTGCCGTCGTGAAAGAGCGCAAAGCGTGTCTCTGCCTCCAGCACCGTGGAGCGTATGGCCGAAAATACCGCAAATTTCGATGCATTCGGATCGAGCTCTATTTGCGCTACCGGAAATGCCGGCATAAACAGCAGCTGATCCTTAACCAACGGTGGATCCAATGGGTTTACAATACCACCAGCAGCACCGGCGCCGCCACCAACGCCCCCGCCATTGCCGTCCAGCACGGCGGCGGCGGCAGCTGCTGCCAGGGCCGCTGCCGACTTCTCCTTGCGGCTCTTGCGCTTCGTGAGAGCCTTGCGCTCATTTTGCAGTTTTCTGCAATTACAAAGAGAGAGACGCAACGGGGAAAGAGAGCGGGTCACAAATTTGAATCGATTAGGTTGTTGTTGCTCATATTCAGCAGCTTTATTGATTTAACAACAAACGAATTAATGCAGGTCGGGTTGCCGCAGCCAATTGGCAACGCTCAGCTGTTATCGATCAGCTGTTGCGGCCAGTGCTGCCCACTTGTCGTGCAAAAGTAGCAGGCGCCAATTTTTCAACCCCGACAAATCGACCGCCTTGGCTAGGGGTTGAAGACCTACATACACAATATACACTACACCGAACGGCAAATCGATCGATTTTTCCAACCCCCAATGCAATGTCGGTGCCGCCGTTGCCGCTGCCGCTGCCGTCAGCACCCCGCCGTACATTATTTACAATTACCTGCGTGTATTGCTCGTATATAATTCGTAGAAATGATCGCCATATTTCATTGGATTCAATAATCCAACCATGGCTTTTGCGCAAGACGTTCAACAATTTGCAAAATCGATTTTATGTATGCGTTTTACATATATACATGCATATGTATATATCTATCTATATATGTATGTACATCTGTATGCCGTTATAGTTGTACCGTTAACACACCGACACGACACTTTTCTGCGTTTTTTTATTTGTTTTTTGTGGGAGAAGCGCGCGCTTGCCACCGGAGCAACAATAACTAGATAGCTGAACGTTTGTCAGCTTGATTTTTGGCTAAAATTTATTGCACAAAAATTTACAAAATAACTAAGTAATTAACTATACTATTTGCGAAACTTAATGCATATTTCTTGTTGTATGCTTGCACCTCTGGCTATACGAGCCATAAATCTATCGATTAATTGCAACAGGACATTCGCGTGCTTGGCGATAATAATGCCTAGTAATGTCGATACTATCGATTATACATATTTTGCTGTTTGCATTTGGTAATTTAACAAAACTATATGTGCGCTTCTGTTTTATATATATATTATTATCTAAATCTTAATTTATATTTTTCTTGCGTGCCTTTCAATAATATACACTTTGTGGGCGCTCTAAAAATGCCTTTCAACGATATTAATCGATAATTCTTGCACGATGTTTCGTGCTTGCAGCCCTGCATTACAACAGCTGTCAAACGGCCTACAACAACAACAGCTGAACTGACAGCAGCGCCGCAGCAGCAGCAGCAACAATCGAGGAAAAACATTTTACGTAATTTCTATTTGTTATATTCAATTGCAATTTGCATGGATTTAATGTGTGTGTGTGTTTTTAATGCTAGCACAGCATGGGCAACGCTCTGAACCATTATTTGAAACCAGATGTAACGCCCGGGCCGGATGTGGTGCCCAGCTTCGATCCCATGTTGGGCTTTGAGTCGCGCAAGGAGCGCGTCATGATTGCCACCAAAGAGGAGATGGAATCGGCCAAGCTGCCACTGGATGCCCGCGACTATTGTGCCCACAAGCTGCTCGCCTATCAGTCCTGTCGCGCCGACAAGTTCCCCTTTGTCTACCAGTGCGCGCACGAGAAGCATGACTATCTTACCTGCGAATACGAGGACTATGTGCTGCGCATGAAGGAGTTCGAGCGGGAACGCCGGCTGCTGGAGCGCCAGAAGCGTCTCAACAAGCAGGGCTAAGCTCAGTTCAGTTCGGCCGGCAAGCGGAGCAGCTGCGTCTACTGTGGGCAACTTTGCAAGCCAGCACACACTGCCCGTCGCAAGCGGAAATTTCAATAAATACTATGCCTAGTAATAATATGGATCTGTTTTTTTTTTTTTTTAGTCAATTAAATGAGCACGAAAACTTAAAACCAAAAATGGACATTTTAAGTGCAAGCTTCTTAACCAAAACTAAACTTAACTATAAACCATCAAATCTGTCACATTGGAAGCGCTAACGGAAAGCTCAGGTCTTGACAGGGGACAACCTGCCTAGGGCGGACAACCTGCCCGCTCAAGCACTTTTCAAGGATTTCCTATATTCCTTATTAGTCTCACATCGAATTGGCTGCTGGATTCGGCCGGAACCATAGACTCCTCGGCTGCCCTGCTCAAGGCCGGGCCGATTGGCCCCTCGCCTATGCCCTGATCATACAAGGCCGGATCAATTGGCCTCTTGCCTATGCCCTGGTGGTACAAGGCCGGGACACTCGGCTGCTCGTCTAACCTCCGGTAAAACGAGGCCGGGACAATCGGCTCTTTGGCTAAGACCCGGGCAAGCCAGCCTTCAATGAATTTTTTGAGACCTTCGAACATTAACATCAAATTTATTCAATTAAATTAACTGATTGATATATGTATATTTATATATATATATATATGTTCTGAGTCAGCGGCGATTCTTATAGGGTAAAAATCTAAATTTAAGGAAGTTCTATTGATTTCATATTTAAAGTAAGTTCAAGGAACCAATTCGATATATGAAAATTTTCTCAATTTGCGGTCGATTTCTTTACTGACTGCGTTAAAAATATGAAATGTTTGGTATACAGAGACTAGCTAAGTTTTGTTTTAATTTATTTAATACAGAGAGTCAAATTGTCTTGCGAAACGTTAACTTATTGAGAATCGCAAGGGTCAAGCGAAATACTTGTATATGGCGCAGATTTATATATGTTTGGGTTTCTTTTTGTGAAACTCTTGGTCAACGCTTTATTCCATATAAAGATCATGCAGGAGTAATCCCGAATGTTAACCTTAAATTACAATTGCTTTTGTATAATAAATGCAGACACACACACACACACACACACACGTACACACGCACACGTACCTAATTAAAGCTAGTAACTATGTGGTTGACACTGATAAGGAGTTTGTGACTAATATTTAACAAGTTGCTCTGATTAAATGCAAACAAACATCTTTGGTAAACGCTACGAGGACAAACATTGGGCCAGCGCCCACGGCCACGCCCAACGCCGAGTGCCTCATCAAATGCCCAGTTTGCGCCAGAAATGATGCATGCGTCCGTGTGTCTCGAATATGCTGCGCAGCATGAACACCTGGATGAGGCCAACGCCGATCATGGCGCTGATCTGTAGCAGTGACCAGTTGTTGACCTTTTGGAAATTGGCCTCGGCCAGGTTGCGATCGCGCGCCTCGTGGGAGCGCAACAGATCCTGTAACTGGCGCGCCTTGGTCAGCTGCATGCGTATACGTCCAATGAAGTCCATAATATCCTGCACCTTCATGTCGTAATACTCGTCCGGTGTTAGGCCAGTCAGCTCATCGACCTCCTTCCACTGTTCATCGCCATGATGCTGGTCGCCTTCGCGTTCGACTATCAAATTGAAGAACACCGTCTTGCGGTTGAACATGCTGAAGCTGTTGTCGAAACAGAAACGATAGTCGCCCTCCTTTTGCACCTCGTGCCGATGCATGTTCTCCGGCTTCTTGTAGTCGCTGACAATCACCAGGCCAATGGGATCGAGCAGCGCAAAGCTAATGTCCAGATCACCGTGGCCGCCATCAATAACCTGATACTCAAAGTCAATCAGTTCGCCAGCCTTGACGGCATGGTATAGGCACTCCTTTTTGCCGGCCTCCACATAAACTGTCATCTCTTTGTCAAAGCCGTTGACGAGCAGCATTGGGCAAAATATTGATGCCGCCGCCACAAGGCCCAGCCAGGTTAGGCAATTTTTTTTCAGCTGTGCCATGACAAATGCTTAGTGAATAGCGTGCATAATTGCATTTGCTTTAATTACCATTTCGCTTACCATTTCAATTTGGCTAAATAGAAGTTAAATGCGAATCGCGTCGGTGTGCCTAAAAATGGCGATATACCTACTCCCTATGATTGTTGATACTATTTTTAAAAATATCGCTCATCGATTGCATTCACAACATATCGATGTACAGCTGCAATCCGACAAGCTTTCGATATTTCTATGTGAGTGATACAATATATCGGCTGGCAGAAGTGTATTGACGCTTTTCAATAGATGGCGCCAGCAGCTAATTGGCAAGTGTTATTGAAACTATGAATATTTTCAGCAGTAAAATATTAGATTTATATTTATTTATTCGCATTCATATTTTGAAACATATTCATATAATAAGGCTTCACTGAGCACCAAAAAAAATGTTTATCCTGCTTATTTGATTGTGGAAAAGAGCTCGGAATATGTATGCCCTTAACATTAAAAATGCTGGCTTACGCTAATTGCCGGTGGCAACAGATGGCGCCAGTAGATGGTGGGAAATTCAAAAAATTACGCTAAGTTTAAACCTAACATTATATATCTCTATATCAAAAACTTTTTGTCCTGACTGACTAACTAGCTTATTGTTTGACTAAGCTAGAAGGCTAAAATTTTCTCTACAATCAAACTCATTTTCAACGAACTTTGAGATTGTTTAGTTTATTGATTGTATATAATCAAATTTTAAATTAATTATTACGATAATAGTATTACGGACAATTGATTTATATGATCGTGAATGAAACTCAATCGAAATATAGCTTATATTATAAATATGGACTGTAGACCTTAAGCTATTATTAGCCTATTGCTTACTTAACTGTTGCGTGCTACGGATATCAAACATAGCTCATTCACATATTGTAAAACCCATTTGCAATACTTAAGTGCAAAAGTATCTTTTAAAGCGGCTCTAAATTTAGACACCGAATTGCCGGCAGTTAACAGTCAATCGGTCACGATCCGGGAAACAATGTCAATGTCGCCGGTGCAAAGGTGAAATGGGAGTTATTCATAGACGATCTTCTCGAGCATTGCTAACAAGTTACGTCTATTGCCGGAGCTGTGATTAATGTACCCGGCTACCGGCTTAAAAGAGCTGTTTATAAATCGATCCAGTCAAAACAAATATTAACTGTGGCCGCTCAAATGATTTGGATGATTGATTGATACTAAATAGCGTAACAATCATTGAATCTTGAAACAACAAAAGATCATTGTTAACGTTTTTTTTAGTTAAAACAAAAAAAAAACATCGAAAAATTTATTAAGATTTTATTTGAGAGTAAAATGTATATTATGTACTGTTATCATATTTGTTGCGAGAACTGATACTAAAAGCTATCGATTAAATTATCGATAGTTGTGGTTTGTTAGGACAAGCAGTTACTGCTTGCGAATAAGCTAAAGGTATCATGAATAATTTATTGATTTCATGTATAAGAAGAGAACCCTTCGAAATATTGAGAAATGCAGCTACGAATCGCACTTCGATATTTATCGTCAATCGATAGTCGCATTTATCGATTTATCGTTTAATATAACGTATAGTCTTATGTAACATACAAAGAAATGCAGCTATGAATCTCACTTCGATATTTATCGCCAATCGACAGATGCATTTATCGATAAGCATCGTTTAACGAAATACAACATACATTTCGAAATGCAGCTATGAATCGCACTTCGATATTTATCGTCAATCGATAGGCGCATTTATCGATTTATCGTTTAATACAACGTATTGTCTTATGCAACATACAAAGAAATGCAGCTATGAATCGCACTTCGATATTTATCGTCAATCGATAGTCGCATTTATCGATTAACACAATATATACGCTAACGCTTACACAACGTTTGCTTATCCAAACGAGTACTAATCGCACTCTACACACTTCAGCCGGGCCACTTAGCGTCTAATTCGATAATGGAGGTGCCCAATTGCCATGGAAACTGTCGTGCCTCAGTCAAATTACGCAATGATATGCCCGACTACAGCTTGCAGTTGTGACTGATTGATTGTTCGCGCGGAGGCGTACAATCCGTGCCCCAATCCAAAGTTTGTTGCTCGCGGAGCTCCGATTGCGTTCACTTGACAGAGCCTCGCATCAGTTGCCGCCGAACGTTTGCCCGGAATCGCTGCCGTCATGTATCTGGCGCTGCTGCTGACCCTCATCGCACTCCTCTCGCTGCTCTACGTGTTTCTGGTATGGAATTTCGGTCATTGGCGGCGTCGCGGCATTTGTGAGCCGCGCGCCCTACCGCTGCTCGGCTCCTTTCCCAACATGGTCTGGCCGCGCCGGCATTTCCTGAACGATATGCGCGATCTCTACATGTGAGTGGGGGATACAGTATATGGAAGATGGTTTCAGTCGATATTTGGAATATAAACTTACCTTTTGTCAGAGTAGTCTCGTCGGGTGTGCGCGACTGGCAGTTAGCCTTGCAAGCATTTTCGCTTTCTCTTCTATCCTTTGCCCCACACTATCTATGAGAACTCTATCTGTCTCAAGTAACTTTGGTGTTTGTAGTCCGCACTTAATGAAATTTTCAAGGCTTACATAAGGCATTCGAAAGTGCGTGTATACCAAAGCACGAAGCTCTAACTCTCAGGAAAAGTTATTTCCAAATTTTCGGGCTACAGGGGGAGTTCTCCAATAAGTGGAGAAATTGTCATATGTGTCTGTTCTACAACAATTCACATACCAAGTTTGGCGCTTCCAGCTCTTTTAATTCTCGAGCTATGCTTGAAAGAACATAACTACAAATCGATATTTCTCGATATTATGAATATGATCGATAATATCGATAAAAAAAAGATGAGGGGGGGGGGGATTCATAATGCCAATTTCAAGTATCTTGTTTTTATTACAATTTTCAGGCAATATCGCTTAACGGAGAGCTATGTGGGCACCTATTTGGTGCGAGCTCCCAAGCTGCTGCTGCTGGAGCCCAAGCTGGTGAACGAGGTGTTTGTGAGCGCGTTTCGGCACTTTGAGAACAACGATGCGTCGCGCATGATTGACACGGACAAGGACAGGCTCGTCTCGTGCAATCCCTTTGTGCTCGACGGCGACGAGTGGCGGGTGCAGCGGGGCATCTTCTCGCCCCTGTTGACCAGCGGGCGTATACGCAATGCCTACATCAATATGCGGCGCATTTGTGGCAAGCTCTGTGCCTACATTGATCAGCTGTCGGCGAGCGGTCAGCCCTACAATGGCATGGATGTAAGTAGATTATCTGTAGTAGAGAGATTTTTTCTTTTGTTTTTCAACACCTCAAGAGCCGAATGCAGTGTTGTAAGTGAAAGCTGAAAGCTCGCCCAGATGCCTGAACGCGAAAGCTTTAATATAAGTAAAAGCTTAAAGAAAGCAAACTTGTGCTTGGTGCTTAAAAGCTTCATAATCTGAACACAAATGTGAGCTTTAAGCAAATTTAATTGTGCTCAGCGCGAGCTTTAAGCACTATAAAAGCTTTAAGTAAGCAAGCTTGTGCTTGGTTCTCGAAAACTTTATAATCTGACCACAAGTTCGAGCTTTAAGCATATTTGATTGTGCGCAGCGCGAGCTTTAAGCCAGAAGCTTTTAAAATTGACTAAAAATAGCAAGCTTTAAGCGAATCTAATTGTGTTAGGCTTAAAGTTGACCTAGCTTAAAAGCTTTAAGCTTTATCATTATTAAAGCTTGATCTTACAGCTGGGTCTGCGCTTCACCAGCGAGAATCTCTTCGACTGCGTTCTGGGCATCGAGGCGCGCAGCTTTACCGATGCGCCGCTGCCCGTTGCCGAGCACAACAAGGCGATGTCTGAGGATAATTACCGGCTGGCCCTGGCGGGCGCCCTGAACGGCCTCTTTCCGCGCCTGCCACGCTGTCTGCGCCCCAAGATCATACCGCCCACATACGATCGCTTCTTTGGCGATCTGCTGCACGAGGCATTTCGTCTGAGGCGCTGCAAGCGACAGGAGCGCAACGATTTCATCAATCATCTGCTGGACATGCAGCGGGAACACCAGCTCAGCGAAGCGCAGCTGACGTCGCATGCGATGACCTTCATGTTCGATGGCCTGGACACAACATCCTCGACAATTGCGCATTGTCTCCTACTGGTGAGTCGCCTTGGCTCATCAGCCCAACTTGAGCTAAGCTGCGGCTTCTTTCTGCCCAGCTCGGCCGATATCCGGAGTGCCAGCAGCGACTGTGGCTGGAGCTGGACAAGGCCTGTGCCGCAGATCAACTGCTGCCCGACTTTGAGCACCTGAGTGAGCTGCCCTATTTGAGCGCCTGTTTAAATGGTGGGTTAAATTCGAACATTACCTAACTATTCTTCATACACACATGCATACATAGAAGCTTTGTTTTCCTTCTTCTTTGTGCTTCATTCGTAAACGTTTTTGTATTGACATTTTTTTAAGCATAATAGGTTAGCGGTATCTTTTGCTTTTTCTCCCTTTCCACTTGCAGACATATACATGCTTATGTATTAGCTTGTGTATCGATTTTCATTTTCTTCTTTGTGCTTCATTCGTAAACGTAACACGTCGTGACTTGGCGATGTTAGTGCATCAAATTACATTTTCTTTTTTGTGCTTCATTCGTAAACGTTCTAGTTTCAGCATTTTCTTCTGTGTGCTTTATTCGTAATCAATTTCTCTCGCTCTCATTTTGCAGAGAGCCTGCGCATCTATCCGGCTGGCGGTTGGGCCTCCAAGACCTGCACAGAGCCCTACACGTTTCATGGCAGCCATCACAGCGGCCCGCTGCAAATGTATCCGGGTGACAACGTCATGATACCCATTTATGGACTGCATCATGATCCCAACTTTTATCCAGAGCCGCAAGAGTTTCGACCCGAACGCTTTCTCAATGGCGGCCTCAAGCGATTCCAGCAGCTGGGCGTCTTTCTGGGCTTTGGCAACGGACCGCGTCAGTGTGTGGGCATACGCCTGGGCCTGACCCAAACCAAGGCCGCGCTAGCGGCCATTGTCAGGCGGTACGAGGTGTTCGTCAATGGACGTACCCTTGATGGCATCGAGCTGGATCCGTTTATCTTTGTGGGTGCCCACAAGGGCGGCATTTGGCTGGACCTAAAGGTGCGTCCCAACGGCCCGAAGACAGTGAGTGTGTTATAGATGAGTGTGATTGACTGGGCAATGCCCTGTACTGTTGCTTCAGATTATCCTTATGTAATAGTGCTCACATGTACATAGAAGTATTTTTTTGTTGCACTATTAAGTTAAATAACTATTGTATTCTCTATCGAAACCCTTTTAAACTCGGACCAGATGATATATAAAGTTAAATTTATTAGATAAATTGAAGACTTGGATATTAAAAGTTGCCTGCTTAGGCATAAGACCTACTTTGAATGGCTTGAAGCTGTCTTTATCTGCATTTGTATCTCTGTATAAATGGGAATTATGAAATCGATAAATATCGATAGCTATTTCTCATAGTGATAACTATCGATATATATTCATCATATCGATAATTATGTCATAACTACTACATATCGTATCGATAAATGTACATCATATCGATAAGTATCGATTTTGAGGCATGCCTTTTTTACATGTAAATTTCCTCTTTTTTCATATTATCAATCAATTGTCATTATATCGATAAATATCGATTTGAAGACATGAACTTTTAGGCACAGCTCGTAGAATTTTAAAGTCATAGTAAACACGGACTGGGAGTACTACGCGTTTTGGTAACCGCCCTTGTAAAATCCCCAAAATTAAAAAAAAAATTATTTTATGCAGAGATAGAGCTAAAACTTGAAAATTTCATCTCGACGAGTTCATGCGGAGAGTTCAACAGGTAGCTGAAAAGCAATATAAATGCGTATATAATATTATATCATCATAATATCATATTATAATTTTGATCATACTTTAGCTACTGCATGCTACCCGCTTTTAAGCCATATCCAAGTACAGGGCATGCGATTGCATCCGTTTGAGAGTTAAAAGACACAAAATCCAAAACAAGTGTCCACATAACAAATTCGGCCTTTCTACCTGTAACAGTTCCCAAGATCAATGAGCACAAATAGAAAGATAAACATGTGGACAGATTGAGACAAATAGACAAAGAAAAAAAGGCAAGACAAGACATTTGACAAGCAGACAAATAAACCCGTCACCCGATGACATTGGCCCATTGGGTCGTCATTTGGGTCTGGGTGTAGCCCAGTTGTGTGTCATCCCAGTTATGTCACAAGCCAATAAAAGAGAGAGTGAGAGCGAGAGAGGAAGGGAGAGAGAGAGATGACTGATCAATCAGTTGTAATGAACGAGGTTCGATTGAGCTTTGATTATGATTTGATTGGCATTTGTTCGAGTTTCCCATTGTTGCGGCCCGTTTTGTGGGTTTTTCATTGAATTTTCATAGCCAAATATCATGTCACAGCACTTAGGCAAACAAAGCGCCGCCAACTATTAAATTTACATATGAGTGTGTGCGTGCGACTTTCTCTAAGCCCTGTTGCTGTATTAGCCAATTTAAATATAAACATTAAATTAAACCCCACAAAACGAATCGAAAACCGAAAACGCGGCGAAGGTCAGCGCAGCGCAGCTTAAGCCGCGATTGATCGCTATACCCATTGAAAGGGCGTCACAGGGTATGATAGGGTTATGCAGAGGTAGCTAAAAAAGACAGTTGGCAGGCATATTTGATCTGAGCCTCTCTAGACTTGATATTCTGTAAGTCAATCAGTCAATCAGTCAGTCAGTCAGTCAGTCAGTCAGTTAGTCAGTCAGGGTTTCAATCAGTCTATCAGTCAGTCAGTCATTCAGTCAGTCAATCAGTCAGTCAGTCAATCAGTCAGTCAGTCAGTCAATCAGTCAGTCAGTCAGTCAGTCAGTCAGTGTTTCAGTCAGTGTTTCAGTCAATCAGTCAGTCAGTCAGTCAATCAGTCAGTCAGTCAGTCAGTTAGTCAGTCAGTGTTTCAGTCAGTTAATCAGTCAGTCAATCAGTCAGTCAATCAGTCAGTCAGTCAATCAGTCAGTCAATCAGTCAGTCAGTCAGTCAGTCAGTCAGTCAGTCAGACAGTCAGTCAGTCAGTCAGTCAGTCAGTCAGTCAGTCAGTCAGTCAGTCAGTCAAGTCAGTCAGTCAGTAACTCAATCAGTCAGTCAGTCAGTCAGTCAGTCAATTAGTCAGTCAGTCAGCCTTTCTGTCTATCGTTCTGTCTTTTGAACACTCTCGAATATTCTCAGATACAGGGTAGCTGCCAGTCGGTCACGCTTTGGACAAGCAATGAAAACTCAATTTATGTACATATATATAAGTAAATTTATTAGTTAGGAAATCGGTTAAGTTGAACGAGCAAAAAAAAAACATAGAAATTAGGTTCAAATAATGAAGCGCGCGGTTTAAACAGCGCGCAAAACGCTAACAAATTCGATTCGAAATGATGAAATTAAACAACTAATCAGTGCTACGGGTGTGCGCGTGAGTGTGTGTGTGTGTGTGTGTGTGTGTGTGGGAGTGGGAGGCGGATTGGTTAGCTCAATGCCTGGGCACGGGCAGCAGACGAAGCGGCCTCGTCTGGCGCACAACGCGCTCCCGTGGCCTGGCCACAGCCAAGGGTGGCAGATAACCACGAGGCGCCACCGACTGCTGCTGCTGCTGCTGGGGCTGCTGCTGCTGCTGTTGATACTCCTGCTGATCATCGTAGATCTTCACGGTCTGCACATGATTCTCGACATTCTGTTCATCCTGCGTGACCACCTTGACAACATGATGCTGGCCGCGCGGCTGCTCATTGCTGGTGCCCAGTATTTTGATGGTCTTCACGCCGGCAGCATCCAGAGTTTCGAGCACTTTGAATGTGCGCGTCGCATGCGGCTTAACAATTTGAACGGTGCGCACCTTGGAGCTGCCCCGAGCAACAGGCGCGGCAGCAGCAACAGCCACATTGACGGCCAATTGCATTTCGCGTGGCATGAACTTTTGCAGCGACTGTTGCGCCTTCAGGCTGAGCGCGGGACGCTGATGTTGCTGATGCTGTTGCAGGTGTTGCTGTTGCTGCTGCTGTTGCTGCTGCTGTTGCTGCTGCTGTTGCTGCTGCTGTTGCAGGTGTTGCTGTTGTTGCTGCCGTTGCACGTGATGTATGTGATGATGCTGATGGTACTGCGTGGGCAGCGCATTGCGAGCGTAGGACATGGCGGGCGCATAGAAATGCGGACGCTTCGATTGCTCACGGTACATGGGCGCCACCTGGACAAATTGCTGCTGTACCTGCTGCTGCTGTGCATGTTGCTGCTGCACATGTTGCTGCTGTGGCTGTCCGTATCGTGCATATGGCTGTACCGTGTTCATATAGCTGCTCAGCGCGTGTATGTGTGTGTGCTGTGTGGGCGGAGCGAGCAGTGGGGCGGCAATTACAGCGGGCGCCTGATAAGCTGTTGCTGTTGCTGCTGTCAGCGTGCTGCTTGCAGTTGCTGTTGTCCTTACCTGTTGTTGCTGCTGCTTGGGCACGCCATAAATTATATTAGAGCCAGGCTGGGTAGCTTGACGTTGTGGCTGCAATTGCTGCTGCCGCTGTTGCTGCTGCCGCTGTTGCAGCTGCTGCTGTTGTTGTTGTTGTTGCTGCTGTTGTTGTTGCAGCTGCAATTGCTGCTGCTGCTGTTTGAGCAATTTCGTTTGCGTTTGCAGGCTGTGCAGCTCGGCAATGGCGGCCTCAAAATTTTCGGGCTTGCTAAACTCATATCCCTCTGGCAGCGCGCCAGGATGATTGAGCTGTTGTTGCTGTTGCTGCAGCTGCAATTGTTGCTGCTGTTGCTGCTGCTGCTGTGATGTCTGATAATTGTGATTGGCTTGTTGCTGTGGCTGCGTCTTGGCCGCATCGTAGTTGGGCGGCAAATAGTCTGGTGCACTATACTCACCAACTGTTGCTGGCTGCACGGCAGCAACTGGCTGTGCTGGTAGCTGTGGCTGTTCTATGATTTGATCCAATGGCAATTGATTCGGATTGCTGAAGTCATAGCCAGGCGGCAAGTAGCCAGGAGCTTGATATTCAGCCGCTGGCGCCGTTGGCTGCGGCAATGTTGCTTGCGGCGCAGGCTGTGCCAGTTGCTGCGGTGCTGCCAGCTGCTGTTGCTGTGCAATTTCTGGATTGGCAAAGTCATAGCCAGGTGGCAGATAGCCTGGTGCACGGTAATTTGATTGCAGCGAGTTGCTGCTGGCGATGCTGCTGCTGCTGCTGCTGCTGCTGCTGGCAATGCTGCTGCTGCTGCTGCTGGCGATGCTGCTGCTGCTGCTGCTGGCAATGCTGCTGCTGCTGCTGGCAATGCTGCTGCTGCTGCTGGGTGGCAAATAGGGCGGTGCACGATAGATCTGTTGCTGTTGCAGTTGTTGTTGTTGCTGTTGCAGTTGTTGCTGCTGTGAATAGCTGCCAGCTGTTGCTGTTGTGGGCGGTAAGTAATCGTTGGCCCTATAGACAGAATTAGAGACGAGTTGTTGTTGCTGTTGCTTCAGGCTGCTGGCGGTGGGTGGCAAATAGTCGGGCGCCTGATAGCTTGCTGGTGGCTCGGAGAATACCTGCGGTGCAGTTGAGCTTAACACGGAGCTCAAGCTGCCGCTGCCAGTGGATTGATATACCTGCTGCTGCTGCTGCTGTTGTTGAATGCTGGGCGTGGCAGCAGTGGGCGGCAAATAAGCTTGCGCGCTATAAGCCACATCCTGCTGTTGCGTCTGTTTGCGTTGAAAATCATGCTGATAGCTGGAGGGAAACGGCACCGAAGCAGCTGCTGTTGCTGCCACCGGCAATGGCCGGGCAACAGTGGCTGCCACCGGCAATGGCCGGGCAACAGTTGCCTGCAAATGGCCATCCTCATCGGCAAAGCTCAGATATGATACATCCAGGTTGTCATCGTCGACAGCTGTTGCCGTTGCACCGGCAACATGTTGCTGCGGCGCCTGCTGATGTATGTGTATCTCCTCGTGGCTGGGCTGCACGGGCGGCAGATACGCACGAGCCTTGCCCTCGTAATGATTGTGCACCTCGAAGATCTGATAGCGCGAATTGCCATAGCTGCTCTCCTCGAACCGATTCGGTTGCTTCAGCGATATATCCGCAGCGATTAAACCACATTGCGAGCAGGCGGCGAGCGTTAACAAAGCGCCAATTAACTTTTGGCCACAAAACAAAAAAATAGACAACAAAATTAGCACATTCAAAAAAAATATTCTATATAAATTACGGAAATTTCAAATCTATTTTTATATATTGCATAACACTTGTTAATCCTTTCGTTTTCAGTTTCAGTTTTTGGGTTCTTTTTTTGGCTCTGATCACTTGCACTTGTTGCTGCTGCAGCTAGTTGCTGCTGTTGCTGCTGCACTTACATTCATCTTCACGTTGGTCGTGCTTGAGCCCTCGATGTCCAATCGTTCAATGATGGCCCAGCTGGACCGGGCCACGCATTTTATACAAGGGCGCGCATTAGTTCAGCATTTGCTTCAGTCTGCAGTAGCTGCGGCTCTGTGTGTGTGTGTGTGCGTGTGTGTGTGCGTGTGTGTTGTGTGTGTGTGTGTCTCTTTGATGCCATCCCAGTGCCATGGTCCACACACTGCGCTGGCCTTTCATTAATTCAACGGCGCATGCGCAACATTTTTGGCCGCTGCGTTTCAGCTTTTAGCTTTTTATCTCGCTCGCTCTCTCTCCCACTCTCGCTCACTCTCGCTCTCTCTCTCTCTCTCTCTTGCTGTAGCTCGCTTGAAATGCAAATTATTTATTGAGTTATTACAAACATATCATTCGTAATGCTCCGAAATTCGACACTATGCCAATTCCGCGGATGTATGCGCTCTGCGGATGCTATTAATTATGCCAGCAACAACAACAACATCTACAACAACAGCAACAACAACAACAATTTATCAGCTCCATGATTTAGGCTTAGCCCCAAACTGTGCATCATTCAAATTCATGAAACTTGTTTTCATTTGTTCGAATTTCAATTTTCTTGACAATTTTCGCAGTTTTTTTGCCCTATTTAGAGAACGAGCTGGGCTAAGCGAATGCATAGATAAAAGGACTGCCAGCTCGAAACAGGATAAGAGCGCGCTGGGCGACTAGCAGATACCCTACGATCAGTGCCTAGCTGCCCTGCCACACTTGATCTACGGAAGGCGCAATCTTGAATAACTTTGGTGCTTATAGTCCGATCTTTTGGCAAATTTTATTCAATGTGCGTGCATACCCGAAGCATGAGGAGTTTCGCTTTCCTATGCTATGTTTTATTATTCTAACTCAAAATCGATATTTATCGGTTTTATCAAGAAGAGGAAGAGTTATCGATAGATAAGCCTGAAGTCTCGAGCTTTTGTCGTTGCCCAAATGGACACAGACAAACACGACTAGACTTCTGCCTGTTACATAGTTTGGCACACAGTCATTATACCCCATCTAGAGCTTATTGCAGGTCTTCGTACATCCATATGCAGATATGCCTCATTTAATCTGATTGCGTCTTACGAAAATATTTGCTAAAGGTTTCTGTCATTGCCTCACAATGCCAAAAACTATATAAATAAAGATAAAATAAATTAAAAATAAAAATTATTATATCATTAGCTGCAAGGGGTACGATTCGGGCTGGGGAACTGCGCGTATATACTTAGCTGGTAGCTGCGGCCACTTTTTAATGCCAGCCAATTAATTATGTGCTAATGAACGTGTCGGCTCATTAGGGAAGTGATATCGATGCAAACGAGTCTATCGTCTATCGCCTATCGGCTATCGGCTATCGGCTTATCGTTATGCGGGCCCATCAAATGCCGGCTGAACGTCTCGCAGTTGGGTGTGCCTTTGCCTCTGGGCCAAGCTCTTAAATATGTTGTCTATAAATATTAATGAGAGACTTTTATATGCAATGCATTTGGCACAGGCCGCGGCATTATCTAATAGATCATGTATATATACATATTAATTTATTAAAATGAATTAATATTCATTTATTGGACATGTTCAGCAATTAATTGAGACGAACCCCTCTTCAAATCACAAATAACCAATTTTTTATAATTTTCAAACAAATATTTTGTACGTAAAGATTTTATGCAAAACTTTCTTCACGCTCGAGCCGAATCTTCGCTTTCATAGTCGAAATAGCTCGCGCAAAAAAAAAAAAATAGGTGGAACAGCGCAGGTTTTTATTTGTCGTTTAGCTGCAGACTAAATAAACTTCTTTCTTTTCGCCCTTTTTTACTATCGCCTTTCTATGCAATTCTCATGAATGCAAGTAAGGCGGAGAAGTTTTCATGTGTTGGGAACCCAATACATTTTTGTCTTTTTCTCTCTCTCTCTCTCCCCCCCCCCCCCCCCCCTCTCTCTCTCTCTCTAATTCTCTAATTTTAGATCATGTCCCATAAGCCCATAAGCGAAATGAACTTGCAATAATTTATCAGACAGCAATAGATGCCAATGACATCCATAATATGACTGAGCTTGACTAACTAATTTCGGTTCACGCTTAAACCAGATCACATTTCATTCACATTTTTAATTTTGGGGTTTTTTTCTTCTTCTTATTGGTTAACCTTCTGCCAAGCGTTTCGTCTGGCCGCACGAATGCTGTGGGAATATTGAAAATGGTTTTCAATTGGCGTTGAGGCGAAGGCAGATGTTCACACACTCATTTCGGCTACTAATTTTGAATACTTTCACTTTTGAAAATGCAACCCAATATATTTCCGAATCACTCATCAAATTTATTCAATGTCAATCAATGGCATAGACATCCAAATATTTTTCCAGCCATTTTCTTTGTTGTTGTTTTTTTTTTTTTAATTTTTATTAATTTTCCAATATTTATTTGTGTCACTTTCCTAACAATTAACCTTGGCCCATGAATTAAGCTAGTAGGCCGCAGCTGAAGTAACTGTTCGAGACAAAAACGCTAACAAGTTGGCCAACCGAATGGGCCATAACTGCCTAACTGACCACCCCTAAGAGGCGGACAACAAAGGCAACTGAAATGTGTTTAACAAGTTATTTGTTTATCGATATGCTACAAGCATACAAAAATGACTAACAAAGGGTTATAATGGCATGAAACAGGCAGCAGGAGGCATCTGCTCAGCTCGTGGAGTATGTCTTATTTTGGACAGTACGATCTGAAAACTTCCTATTTGGAAAATGAACAAAGTTGTTGATAATTAATCGATAGCATCTGCCTTTTTCAGAATATCGATAAATATCGATTGTGAAACTTGGACTTTTAAGCAAAATCTCGAAGACTTTCAAAACTTAAGGCTACAAATTGGAAGAAAGCTACAAGTTTTTACATCTATTCGATAGTATTATCGATAAATATCGATTGTGAAACTTGGACTTTTAAGCAAAATCTCGAAGACTTTCATAGCTTAAGGCTACAAATTGGCAGAAAGCAACAAGTTTTTTATATCTATTCGATAGTTCCCGCTTTTAAATAATATTATCGATAAATATCGATTGTGAAACTCGGTCTTTTAAGCAAAATCTCGAAGATTATAAAAGCTTAATTCTACAAATTGGAAGAAAACAAGTTTTATATCTATTCGATAGTATTATCGATAAATATCGATTGTGAAACTCGGTCTTTTAAGTAAAATCTCGAAGATTATAAGAGCTCAGACTACAAATTAAAAGAGAAGAACAACAACTAGTTTCTATTTAATCGATAGCACCTTTTTAAGAATTGTATCGATAAATATCGATTGTGTGACTTGATCTTTTAAGCACAAACTCAAAGATTATACGATGTAATATAGACAAATACATAGTTCCTCATCGAAGTTGAAAAGCAACCTAGCTTTAAAAGTTCCAGCTATGTGCTTTGGTATTTGCACACATTGGGTTGCCATGCTAAAGATCTGAACATTTCATAAGCATCGGACTATAAAGACCCAAGTTACGCAAGAATGCATTTTCTAAAGACAGTTTTTAAATGTATCCAAGAATGGAAGAAAGCTCGAATGTACATAACTGCAGGGTATCTCCTAGTCGGACACGCACTTTTGCATGATCTTCGTCGACTATGGAAGCATTTTTTTTATAATTATTATTATGTTGCACAATAATTATTGGTATTTCTTTGATGTGATTCTATTCAAACAAGGCTCTAAAATCGATTCAAGCTAAATTAATTTCAACTCTTTTTCAATCATAACAAATATTTAATATATAATATACCCAAAGGCCAAAGCTGGCATATTTTTTCACATTTTTTGCCTTTGTCTTTGTCGATTTGCATTTACATGAATTGTCTTGTAAGCCTATTTATCAATTTTTCAGTGTTCGGCGGTGTTAATGTCAGAGACAAGATACTCGTATAGCTATTGTATCGCCAGGTATTACAATCCCAATCCCCAGCTGAACAATCAGGTAGCAACGGCAACACCCGTAAAACAATGCCAAAAGTTGTCCCAACAAAAAACTTGCCAATGATTGTGCTCATAAAAAAAAAACAACATAAAACCAACAAAAAACATAAACACAACAATATGCCATGAAAGGGAAAAACAATATTGAATATGAAATTGCCAGCGAGGGGCACTCGATATATATCTCTATCTATATATAAACATATATACTATTGGAAATGGGTGTTTGGGTTATAAAACGTCAACATCAAACCACACACACTGAAGGATCTATATATATAACTGATTGATTCTCACTTGGTGATTGACTGATTCATGACAATCGCGTAATGCTAGCCTTAGAAGCTATGGAGCTGCATTTTGCGCAGTAAAACTTCTTGCCTTCTACTTAAAAAAGCGAAATTTGAAAAAAGAAACAAACTTGACTCCGACAAGCCAAACACAAGCCAAAATAACTGTGCTGCACAACATAAACTTTTTAAATATCGCCCTACTATGCGATTCTCATTTATAGAAGTCAGCCTAAGAGGTTTTTATGCTTTGATTTAGGGTCATCTAGTAAACTTTAACTCTGATTATACTCTCTCTTTCTCTCACTCTCTCACTCTCTTACTCTCACTTCCCCTCTCTCCCTCTCTCTATCTCCCTCTCTTTGTCTCTTTCTCTCTCTCCCTCTCCCTGTCCCTCTTAAGGGATTCCCATTTTATCTTTTGACCAAGCAGCTATAGGCTGCGGTTCATGTAATTTCGGGTTTGAACCAGCACATTAAAAGAAACCGGCTTGCAACCATGTTATCTATTTATTTCCAACTGCCAACTTACGTATGCTTCAGATATTACAACTCAACGAACGCCTCGCGTTTTGACGCTGAATTTGTCAGTTGACTCTTCGGGCTCTTCGCGGTTTGCCCACCTTGAACACCTGCCCCCCCCCCCCCCCTTCCCGCACCATCGCCTCCCCTTGAGCTGCGTTGCCAAGCCAGCTAATTGATACATAAAGCATCGAGCATTTTGGGAACAGGCAGCAGCCGCGACAGCCAAAGCGTCGCCGGCGATTTTTTGGGGCGTGTTTCGGTTTTATTTTATTTCGTTTTTTTTTTTGGCTCTAAGCTGGAACCTGAGATTCATTGATTGGCATCATCTATTATGCATGCATGGCTATGGATGCAAATCTGAATGGATGTGGAAACACACAATTTATGCAGCGTTCCAATGAGGGGGGGGGGGGGGGGGGGGAGGTAGGGCGGGGATGGGGTCCAGCTGCTCATCGCGCTAAACTTTAATGGGCTTTTAATGTGTGGCTGCTTTCTGGCCTACTGAATGGCCCCTTGCCCCTTGCACCTTGCACCATGCTGTCTGCCTCTCTGCGCTGGCTTTTCATAATTAGCATTAGCAAATTGTGCTGGCAGTTTGATTAACCCCAATTACATCAATCAAACGCTCAATCGTTCAATCACAACATTTACACATGTCCTTCACAGCAACTGCGACCTTTCACCTGCCACGGCGCAGCGCCTCTGCGTTTCAGTTTCAGTTTCTGTGTTTCTTTTGTTTTTGTTTTTTTTTTGCAGAAAAATCGCTGGCGACACGTGTGTGGCCCAAGTGGCAAACGCCAGCGGCTAAAAACGCATCAAAAACTAAGCACGCGTTTTTTTTTGTTTTTAATATATTTATTTATTTTTTTGTTCGCAACATTTTGCCATTTTGCTAATTGCCATTTATTAACTATTTATTTGTTATTAACAAATTAAGCAATTTACAATAATAGCTTTGGCAGGCGACAAGCCAGGGACAGGCATTGCCATGCCTTATGCCATGCTCGACGAGGAGATACCACGCATTTGGAAAGCAGAAAATCAATTTAAGCTCAAGTAAGACATTAGGCAACTTTTTTATTTTGTCAAGGCATAGAAGAAGACATCTCCGAGCCTACAGGGTATTTGTATTCTAGATCGGCAGCAAGAGCCGAGGGAATATAGTCAAGTCCGTCTGTCCGTCCATCCGACTCCGCGTCCATTTGATTCTCTATGAACTAGTCTCCCAGTCTTAAAGCAAACGTCTTGAAGGTCCGTTTTACTACTGCAGCCAGTAAATATGTCGGAACCGGATCGTAACACAATATTATATATATATATACTGCAAAGAAAAGAAATGCTTTTGGGTTTGAACCAGCAACCTCTCGCTTGCTAGTCCAAACCTCCCACAGCTAGACCTTCGCCAAGAAGCAAAAGCCAAATAATAAAGCTGCAAGGAAAAGAATGATTTTGGGTTTGAACCAGCAACTTCTCGCTTGCTAGTCCAACTCTCCCACAGCTAGACCTTCGCCAAGAAGCAAAAACCAAATGTTAAAGCTGCAAGGAAAAGAATGCTTTTGGCTTTGAACCAGCAACTTCTCGCTTGCTAGTCGAACCCTCCTACAGCTAGATTTACGCAAGAAAGCAGCATTAAGCTTCACACACAGGTCATCAGCACGTCGCATACTCCAGACACATTTCTTTTGTTCAAACTTTGACAAATCGCGCCCGACAAGAGCTATAAATTAAAAAAAAGGTCACTCTAGAGCAGCTTTTCTTTGCGAGGCATAAAACAAAACGCTTTGCGAGCCGGCATTATAACATAATCAATGCACAATGATTCTGCAGCCCATCTGGAGATTTATGGAGCTGCGAAGTTGAAAGACAACAGACGCCAGTTTTAAATAACAGTTGATTTAATATTTATTTTGTTTGTCTGCAAATATTCGGTAGTCTTTTGGCCAAGTTTCGGGCCAAACGATGTGCAATATCGTATAATACAAAAAATACATTTGGTTACATAATTACATCATTTTTTTTTTGTTGCGCGCGTTTACATAGAAAATTTTGTGTAATCAAAAAAAAAATGTTTAAAAAAAAATTAACAACAATTTAAAAAAAATATATAATGTCTCAATTATATACAGTATTTACAGGCGCCTGGCTAGCCGCTTGGTCGGGCTTAGGCCCAGCCGCCAGCTGGCTGCCAACCACCGCCGCCGCCGCCGGAGGACCAGCCACCGCCGCCACCACCGCCGCCGTGTCCACCGCCACCGCCGCCGCCGCCACTTAGCTTAATGATTTTGATGACCTTGGTGGAACCGCCGCCGCCGCCGCCACCGCCGGATGACCAGCCGCCGCCGCCGCCGCCGGAGGACCAGCCACCGCCGCCGCCGCCGCCGCCATGTCCGCCGCCGCCGCCGCCAGCGCTGCCCAGGCTGATGATCTTAATGAGCTTTATATCACCACCACCGCCGCCGCCGCCTCCATGACCGCCGCCACCACCGCCCGAAGACCAACCACCACCGCCGCCGCCGGAGGACCAGCCGCCGCCGCCGCCGCCACCGCCGCCGCTTTCGGTAATCACCTTGATCACCTGCACATCGCCACCGCCGCCGCCGCCGCCATGTCCTCCGCCGCCGCCACCGCCCGACGACCAGCCGCCACCACCACCACCGCCGCCCGAGGACCAGCCGCCACCACCTGGCTTAGGCTTGGCCGTCACGCTGGCCGCCCCAATCAGCAAAAGACAGACAAAGGCCTGCAAAGGAATAGGTAACATGAAAGTTAGCAACAACTACATGACTCTCAAACTGCGACTTTAAAACTGTAAATTTTAGTCTCTAAATATACATTATCCGACTCTTAAGCTGTGACTTGATCATTGTGATTCGCCAACAGTGATTTTTAAGCAATAACTGTTAAAGTTAGCAGCAACTATGTGACTCTAAAACTGTGCTTTTTAGTAATTGACTCTTAAACTGTGAGTCTAAATCTACGAATATACTTGAATGGATCTAGAACTGTGACCCTAGCCTTTAAAATTATGTTCGCTGAAGCGCTGAAATTGTGACTTATTTGTTAAGACTCGGAAACTGTGACTGTTAAGCAATGCCTGTTAAGCTGTGACTGTGATTCTAAAGCGCATGCGACTTTCAATCGGTGTCCTTTAGTCGTTGACTCTAAAACTGTGATTCTAAGATTCTAAAAATATTGGCTGTGGCTATTAAACTGTGACTTCAGGAGTGAGCTGTGACTCGCAAATTGTTACTCTTAAGCTCTGACTGTGATTCCAAAAGGCGTCAGGATAATGAGCAACAATGATATGTCTTTCAAACTGTGCTTCTATGTCTTCGACTCTCAAACTGTCACTATTAGCCTTTAAATAGATTGCTGTGCCTTGAAAACTATGGCGCTGAATCTCTAAATATATTCGCTGGGACTCTAAAACGGTGACTCGAAAAGTGTTACTATGTCTGTTAAGCTGTGGTTCGCTAACTGTTACATTAAAACAGTGACTCGACAGTTGTGACTTCTAAACTGTGATCCTTGAGCTGGGACTCTAAGACTGTATCTCTTTCAACTATGAATGCACAACTGTAAATGACAAAATATGACTCAAAAACTGTGATCTTTGAGCTGAAGTTCTGAGACTGTGACCCTCTCGACTATGACTCTACAACTGTAAATTACGAACTGTCATCCTGGGACACTACTGAAAAATCAAACTGTGACTCTAAAACTGTCATCCTTGGCTTTAAATTAAATATGCCACTGTGGCTACTCAGCTGTGATCCTAACGCTAAGAATCTCTGAATGCAACCCCCTCGACTATGACTCTAAAACTGTTAGCTACAAACGGTGACTCCAAAACTGTGGAAGATGCAAGTGCTCGCGATTTCCGGTACCGTGAACTGCACTTGTTAACAATTTGCGGAAATGGAAGTGAACGTGTGCAACAAAGTTCGTTTTGCCCTGTGACTGCAAAACTGTGACTTTAAAAAAATATAAAGTCCTAGCTGGCGACAACAAAAACAAAAAAAAACAATATAATCCTCAAGCCTTTGGCAACACAAACACAACAAAAATTAAAAAAAAAATTAAAATAAAAGAGGAAAAAAAAAACGAAATTTAAATGTTGCACGCGGCGTATGCGCAATATGCGTTTGGTATATTGACACGTTCCACAGGCACCGTACGTACTTTCATGGCTGCACGTTGAATTATGCGATCGCTTGCTTAACTGAGTTATCGGTCTATATATATATATATATACGAGTATATAATGTTGCTCCTGTGATATCCTGCGTTGGCTGCTTGGAGTGGAATACGAAACAACACTGACATGACCAGAGCTGGCTGTGCGGACTTTTATACCCAACTACCATGTTGGCACACATTAACCGGAAAAACGTTTTTCCAAAAACCATTCGCTGCTCGCGGCCGCCGCATTCGCTATGCATGCAACAAGGCAGGGCGTGCGGTGTGCTGCGGTGTATGGCATCTACAATTTTCCCCGCCGTTGTCATGATTATTGCCAACCGTCTGCAACATTGTCGCTCTCTCGCCGTGTGTGTGTGTGTGTGTGTGTGTGTGTGTGTGTGTGTGTGTGTGTCGGTGAGTGTGCCTGGCAATATGGGCCAAATGCTGCCGCATCATTGCCATTAGGCGAAAGTGAGACTCAGCCAGACACCCGCAGAGTGCCCCTACCCCCTCCATAACCCCTGGCCCTTATGCAGCCAGCCGGGCAGCCGGGCAGGCAGTGGCAACAAGTCATAACAGGCAACAAACTGTTGCTGTCCCATCTGCAGCAGCATCTGCCAGCGTTGGTTTCGACTTGTTTGTGTTGCATCCGCAGCAGCGGCAGCGGCAGCCGCAACCTCAGCCACAGCATTAACTGCACCTTTCCCATTACATAAGCAACGGCTGCTGTAGCCCAACTTGCAACTTGTTGCCCCTTTTACTTGTTGTTGGCCATTTGTTGATTAACATCTGCCTTTGTTTCTTTTTTTTTTCCATTAATTTGTTGTTCGTTCGCAAATCGCAGCACTTGCTGCCGCTTCTCGATTCTATTAAGCATATTCGCCTGGCACACGCTGCGTATGCGTGATATTTAGAGAGATTGCGCATGCGCAGCGTATACGCAATTTATACGGCCAGCACATCAATCGCTTTTGCCTGGCATTCAGCTGCAAATTGTATTTATAATTTACTGAGGGTCAGGCATTTTATTGAACATCTTCGTCTAAACGCTTGCAAGAACCGCAAAACTCATCAACTTGGCAATGTTGGCAATTCTTAAGCAGCAGCTGCTTGGCCAAGTGAGTTTATGGTCAAGCTGACTTCAAATATATAATATATTTTAGAAATTCAATGCTTCAATGCCCACTTAACGACATTTGTGGTAAGCAAGCTGCTAGCCCTGAACCCTTTGTTTTCTATATAATCCTTACATATATAATCAAAAGCATTTGGCAGCGTAAGCCTTGGCAAGTAGACAGATTCCAGAAGATTCCATTTTCTAAGAGTCAAAGTTTCCAACAAAAAACAACATCCACAACGTCCTAAGATTAGGCTTTGAGCGTTGAACTAGCAAGCGAGAAGTCGCCAGCCCAAATCAAGCCAAAATTTTAATATATAAACTTATAAAAAATGTTTGGATCTTCAAAATGTTAGCTATAATAAATAAAATAAATAATTGTGTCGAAAGGAACGACGAGGTTTCGTCTAATTTTGTAACTGACTCAAATCGGGCGACGCCGGGTAATTTTTTCCAGCATTGTAATATTATGGCCAAAGCTTTCAACTAGTTCTAGTATATCAAAGCAAATTATATAATATATACACATATATATAAAACTGTATGTGCTGACAGACTGAAAGATTGACAGATTGACTGATTGATTGACTGGCTAACTGACTGACTGATTGATGATCAACGCACAGATCAAGCCGTTAGAGCTAGAAAGCGAAAATTTTCACAGAAGTTACCTTATTCGATGTAGGGAAATTCCACCCGCAAGCGTGGAAAATCGTGAAAAGCAGTTGTATGCAACTTTTTTGCTTACCATCCGATTGGCCTCAAACTCTAACTTTCCAAGATCTTCTTATCTCAAATGCATGTGATATAAAGTGGTTCAATTATTTGTTGGATGAAACAAACAAGCTTGCTCTGTGCCAAATGTGATTATGGGAATTCCACGCACAACTGTGGAAACTAAGCGAAAATTTCTAGCATGCAACTTTTCTGTTGGCTTTGAATTCATTTTAGATGTCTAAGTTTTTCGCGATTGATTAAAAAAAAAAAAACAAATTGCATCTTGAAGGCAACTTGATCCAAAGTAAGTCAGTTTTTTCGGATCAATCAAATCGGGAGTTATACGTTTGGGGTGGAAATTTCTATGCCTCTTTGTCAAAAGTCAAAGTTTTCTGATCTAAGAACAAACAAAGTTGAGACACAGAAATTGAACTAGGCGAAAAAAGAAATACTTGAATATGCATTAAAAGCCAGACGAAACGTTACAGCTGCGCTTATAATTCCCAATTGGTTAAGGCGTTTTCTTTATGTCTAAATAAACTGTCCGAACTCTCAATAATCGGACTTTGGCAATATATTTTCAATTTGAGAAACATAAATTAATATGAAATAATTGTCTTAATTGAGCACTCGTCGCGGCATTTGTGAAGTGGCACGTAATTAAGCGGAGTGTCAAGAAAACGCGCTACAATTCTGATAAGGCCAGCTGATAAGATATTCAGAAAGAAAAAAAACAAGAACAGAAAAACATAAAAACTCAAGAAATTGCAATCGCAGTGCCATAAAATGCTTGCAATAAGCTCTGAAGCGCTTCGATCGGGATACATTTTCCAGGGAAATTGTCAAGATGATGCAAACATATTCCCCCCCCCCTACACACAGTCATCCCCCGCACCCCAGCAACGGGTTACGCACAATGCGAATTGCAAATTGTGTATTTTGTCAGGCAAACAAAATGCAATCATAAAACTGCAATCAGCTGCACTTACACAATCGCAGCGAGGGTTGCGCTAATACAAAAAACAAAAATAAAATTAATAAAAAATAAATAAAAAGAAGAAGAAGAAAAAGCTCGAAGTCAAATGAAGTGCAGGCGGCCAAAAGACAACGTCGCGAGTCATCCCCCAAGTCTCGATGCCAGTTGCAAATCATCGAGACCAGATCCATGAAATATATACATATATATATATATATAAAAGCCAGGTGAAGAAGAAGAGTGAAGAAGCCAAGACACGACACCGAAAAGGCGCATAAAAACAAGCAAGAGGCTCTTCTGGGCAGTTACCGACTAGCGTATACCCTAAAGCCGCTTCCAACTCAGTAATAAAAATAGATAAATTGATTCCTCAATGGAACTCGATGTATATACTCATGTAGAATCGTCATGTCAAATTTGTAGACTCTAGCTCTTAAAATCTGCGAGATTCGCTCAAAAAACAGGATTTCGATATCGATTTTTATCGATTACTCTGAAACGGAGCAAGTTATCGGATATCGGAAATAAGCTCGTACTGCGGGAGCAGTAGAAGCACCTACATTCCAAATTTCAAGTCTCTAGCTCTTATAGGTGCTGAGATCCTTGCGTTCATACAAACGGGCGGACAGACGGACGGACGGACGGACATGGCTAGACCGACTCGTCTATTGTTGCCGATCAAGTATATATATATATACTTGCTATCTTCTGTCTGTTACATGCATTTTCTCAAGTGCATTATACCCCATTTAGGCATTTTCAATGGATACAGGGTATAAAAAGCTGTGGAGTCAGTTGCCGCCGCAACTCTCAGCTGGCAACTGGCAACTGTCAATGGCAGCCCGTTTTGGTATAATGATAGAGGAGATACATAGGTTTCCCTCATTTGTTCGACGTAGACCCGGTCACAAAACGCTTTGCGTGAGATACGAGTGCATTGTATTCATAATTATGCTGCGAACACTTTACCATTTCCCCCCTTTTTCCAGTGCTATGGGTGATTCCATAGCACTTGAATACTAATAGTCAAGTATTTGAAACATCAAAGCAAGTTTGCTGGTTCTAACTTTTTATACCCGGAACCCAGAAGTAAGCTCCTCCGACCCCAGAAAGTATATATATTTTGGATCAGCAAACGAGTCGATCTAGACATGTCCGTATGTCTGAACCCAAGGATCTCAGAGCCCATAAGAGCTAGAGAAATTTGGAACTTAGGTCCTTCTACTGCACCCGCAGTACGAGCTTATTTCCGATTATCGATAACTTGCCCCGTTTCTAAGTAATCGAAAGGAATCGATATTGAAATTCTTATTGAAATCGAACAGAAATCGCTTTAGACCTCTTTAGAAAAAATACTCTCAAAAACACACACAAAAACAAATGAAACTGTGAAAGAAATTTGAATTGTGCGTCAAATTTAGTTTTGGTAATTGAGAACAACTTTTGTAAATTGTAATCGAAAAGCGTTTTTAACGTGGATAAATAAAATGTGAGTATGCATTCAGCTGGTCAGTTATATTCGATTATTCATAGTACGGAGTTGTATTCACTGAGTTATGATCCATACAAATTCAAAGAGAGCCAAGAAAATAGTTAATACTGGAATTGCAGGGTATTCATAATTCAGTGCTAACCGCCCGTCGCTGTCCCCTTTCCTAGCCGCCGAGAGTTCGCTTGGCATCCACTGCGAGTCTTTGGTCTCCTTTGTCTTATACACTTTCTGAGGGTATTTCAAGTTTGTCGTGAAATGTGCAACACATCGAAATACCGAATCGATCGGATTGTTGTGCATAACATTTGCTATTCATTCTTTATTTAAAGATATCTTTATCAAACGCAACTTCTATATATGAGTAAAGTTCTATTTGTATTATATTATATAGCTGCCATAGCATTAATCAGTCAATATATCAGTTCTAGTATGCAAAATTTGTTTATATTTCAATATATCTTGACCAAACTTTGCATCTATAGGCATGATTCTTCTATATGACCAAAAAGCTAGTCGAATCGTACTATTATATCATATAGCTCTATAAGAAAAGTCAATCGTATAATGGATGTTTGTATGGAAAACTTTATTGCTATTTCTGAATACAACTTCAACCAATTCATCAGCTATTCACAACCATATTAAATCGGTTTACTATATGGCCACAATAGGCACAATGGATCGGAAATAAAGCTTTGTCTCAAAAGCATTTGTAAGCCACATCCATATACATATATATTTAATTAATGGCGTTACTTCTTTTGTTTCTATTGCAAATCTTTGTTTGAAGCCTTCTTTTGATGATATGAAAGGGCATTCAGTCTTCGCCATGCATTAGCTGCCTTTGTTTTAAGCCGCCAATCAGGAAGCAGCATCCAAAATCGCGACAACCTCGACCTATGTGCAGGCAAATGCATGCATGTGTATGCGTGCGTGTGCATGTGTGGATCTGTGCTTGTATTGGCGCAAGTGAGCGGCGTTTACGCCCGCTGCTGCGACGACGGCGACGGCTGCTGCGGCGACGGCTGCTGCTTCTCTGTAGTGTAGTGGAGCAGCAGGTCAGGTAGCGACGCTCAAGTTGTTGTTGTTGTTGTTGCTGTTGTTGCAGCAGCACAAATTGCGGCTCATTTAAATGAACGCTGTCATCGCAGTCGGTACAAAACTTGTTTTCTTTTTGTTATGCACTGTACTTTTTGAAAATGGCTGCATTGATTTTGGGCAAACGTATGTAACATGCAAAAGGAATACATATGTACATATATATATACATACATACATATATATACACATATATGTACATATATATACTGCCCTAGTCCGTTAGCGCCATGTTCTTTTGCATAAACGTGTTCAAGTCGAGAATTTTGAAATATATGAAACTCATCAGCTGTGTATAGGGTATCTGCTAGACGTGCATGCCCGACTAGAGCACGCTTGTCTGTGTTGCTGTTTTTTCTTTTTCGTTTGTACAAATTGCAACGGTTGAACTATGAGCCCGCCGAAATTGCCGCATCGAATTCGCCGTCGCACAGCTTGGCTCAGCTCAGCAACTGTTTGTGTGTGTGTGTGTGTTTGCGCTCTCTCGCTCTGACGCGCTGCTTGTTGATACAGTTGTTGTCTTACAGTTGTTTACTTCATTCTTTTTTTTTTAAATTCGGGGCCGCTTTGCCCTGCGGCAATAAATATGTATGCATAATAATTTGATCGAAATATGATGTTTTCTGTGCCAAATGCCACGGCAACAACAATAAAGGCAGCTCTAACAGTTGCTATCTTTGTCTGGCTCGATGGGTTTCCGCCTGTTAGGTAATAGCCGTTGCTTCCTGCAAAGCGAGACAGCAACAACAACAACGGTGGCATCCTGCCAGTGTTGCCATAACGAGCGTACATCATTTATGGCAAGCATTTATGGCGTCACATTCTCCACGCGCGTCTTCGGCCAAAAAAAAGAAAACGCAACATTCTTGTATTTTTGTTTTGTTTTTGTTTTTTTTTTTTGAAGAAAAACAATTCTCTTTCTCTGTTGAAGGGGGTGTGGGCTGGGCGTGGGAAGGGGGGCTCATAAACAAATCAATTACAATTTGCTGGACAATGGGAATACATGTGAGAGAAGGTAGCCTGGCAACAGTTTCGTAACATTAAAAATAATATAAAAAAAAATTTTTACATATATATATGCGTGTGTGTGTGTGTGTGTGTGTGTGTATGGTAGAGATGGTTGCGCTGCTCCCACTGCGTGCTCCAGTTCGTCCAGATTACAGGCGACCATAGCGCGCCTGGCTGGGCTTGCGATCCGTAAAGAAGTTGCGCAACACCAATATCTGGACGAGTCCAATCAGGATCACAGTTGCCGTCTCCAGCGATGCCCAGACCATGACACGCTGATTGATATCCTCGGCACGTTTGCGTCCCTGCGCCTCGCGCAGCCGATGATGCGTCTGGGCGTCCAGTATATCGTTGAGGGCCTTGTGTATCGCCTGGGATGATGTCTCCATTTGGGTTAGCACCGTGGCGTGCTCATCGACGCCGGGCAAAGCCGGCTCCTCGCCCACCTGAAAGTCCACGTAGACGATTTTGTGCGAAAACGCCGAAAACTTGTTGCTAAAGCAGGCGGTATAAACGCCCGTTGTCTCGGCAATAAACTGATGGCTATCAAAGGTGGCACGGTTCAGCGAATAGATGATCTGATTCTGTGGATCCTTGAGGACCACATCCACGTCCAGTTGACCGCCGGCGGATACTTGAAATTCAAAATAGGCGCTCGTATTGCGCTTGATCTCCTCGTAAAAGCAATCCTCCGCATTGTCGCCCAAATCGAACGTGAACTCCACGGCGCAGCTGATCTGCAGCAGCGCTGCCAGCACCAGCAGCGACAGCAACAACATTGGGCTGCTGCTGCTGATGCTGCTGTTGTTGCTCTTCTTCTTGCTGCTGCTGCTGCTGTTGTTCTTCTTCTTGCTGCTGCTGTTGTTGTTGCTGCTGCAGTTGTTGCTTTGGTTATTCAGCTGCTCGTCGCGCATTTTGATATTACTTTTTCTTTTCTTCTCTATTTGGCTAGTTATTGACTAAAAAAAAAGAGCGTTTGCTGCCACGCAGCAGCTGACAAGACTTAAATCCTGCGTCGATATCGGCTTTTGCTCAGTTACAGCTGCAAAAAAAACACACAGACACACACATACACATGCACACAATTAATTATCTATTCAAGCGAATTGTCGTTTGCCGGCGCTCACCTGTTTAATTCGTTGGTGCAAGGTCTTGTCGCTCGACTGTTCTTTCGGCTCGATTGTTGGCTTTAAATATAACAACAAAAATAATAGTCAATTCCTCGTTTAAGACGGGCCAAATGTTCTGTCAACGTGTCAACACTTTTTTTATTTGGGGCGTGCGTTGTGCAGCACTGTGCGCGCAGAGTTGCAAAGAACACGTATGTCTTGAGCTAACAGCGCTGGCAATTGCTGTGCTGTAATGACACTTGATGTAATGGCAGAACTTTACAGCGGCATATTGATAAGAGAGTATTTCACAAGTTTAGCAATCAAAAACTTTTGTAACTGTAAATCATTGCTTAACAGAATCGTTAATTATCTAATGTGCGCGTTTGGTGTTTAATGCTCAATGTTTTTGAACCGAGAATTCTTATAGATAATTTATTTTAAAGAAAAACACATTAGAGCATTGATAAAAAAAAACATATTGTTGTGCATCGCTACCCTTAATTTAAACCGGCAACACAGCTTAGATAACAGAACTGGAAAAGAGCACTGCAATAAATGAGTAAGTGTCATGCCAGCACACTGCTAATTGCCTTAACAGAAACGCTCACATAACATTAACATAACAGCTCAAGAGCACAGCAGTAAATAAGCGTCATGCCGGCACACTGCTAATTGCTTTAACAGAAACGCTAACATAACAGCACAAGAGCAGAACAACATGCTCTCGAGCAAGCATCATGCCGGCACACTGTTAGTTATTCGAACAGATACGCTAACATGACAGCACGCGGATCGCCGCTTTGCAACACTGTGCAGCAATCGAAATTGAAAGAATTTTGTTTGTTTAAATTCTGTTGTTGTTTTTTTTTGTTTCCTTTCCGTTTGTTTCGATTCATAGCAATTGCCAATTGATACGCCAGCATGCCGGTGGTGGACCTGACTGTCGATCGCAATCTGCTGTGCCCCAACTTCGACGGCTACAAGCTCTCCTTCGATGCGGTGCCGGTGCTCCGCCAAGGCTTCGATCGCGATCCGCTCAAGCTGGAGCCGCACCTGAATCAATATTCGCTGCTGCATGTGGAGCTCTTCGCCAAACACAATCTGCTCTTCTCGGATCCGTGGGCCCGTCACAACAGCTACTACATGAACAAGGCCCACCAGCTGGTGCTCTGCTCCTACGATGAGCAGCACGGCCAGCCGCGCGCCCAGCGTGTCGTCTATACGATGCGGCGCGAGGATCACGGCGACGGCTATCAGCATCTGGTCGGCGACTACAACTATACGCTGCGCTTCATATCCGAGAAGTACTGCGTGGTGTGCGACGGCATGCTGACCTACCATCTGCTGGAGACCGGCGATCGCAGGCGCGACACCAGCTGGCAGCTGGTCACCCGGTCGCCGGTGACCAGCGACATGGAGCAGCGCGGCTTTGTGCTATACGATGCGCGGCTGGACATGGTGCAGGAGCGCAAGCAAATCTCGCTGATTGGCGGCCATGTGAGGCGACGCGAGGCCGCAACGCCGCAGCAGGCGGACGTGCATGTGATGCAGCTGATCTGGTCGCGCTGGACGCTGGACAGCCTGCCCGAGGCGGGCTGGTCGTACAATCTGTGCGAGCAGCTGGAGACGCCCGGCTCCATATACTATTGTGCCTTTGAGCCGCGCGCCGAATCCCTGATCGTCTGCTCGAACGGTCAGCTCCAGACGCGGGCTCAGCGCGATGCGGAGCTAAACGCAGAGCAGGAGCAGGAGCAGTTGGAGGAGCAGGTGATGGAGGAGGGGCAGGATGAGGAGGAGGAGGGGCAGGAGACGGCGGAGCAACCGCCGGAGCCAGAGCGTCTGCCCATACCAAATCTGGAGGAACCCATCGAAGAATGTGACTTTCCATTGGGCAGCAGCGATGACGACATCAAAATGGGTATGCAACACACACACACACACACACACACACATACGCGCACACCTGGCTAATCCTTCCGTGCATTTGCAGTTCGCTTCAATCTGAGCACATCCGGGATTACACACACGATATTCCTGGGCGCAATACCGCCATTGTTTGCGACCTCGCTGCGCGCCGGGTATCCGGCGGCATTTGTGACACGTCAGGGCGTGGACGCGTCCGTTTGGCTGCAATTGTATCAGCCGTCGAAGCCGGGCGAGTGGGGTGTGCGGCACGAGGGCAATCTGCATGCGTTCGGCTATGTGCAGGCATCCAAGCAGCAGCGCAAGTTTATTGACTGTTGCCCCCAGCTGGAGTATGCGGTTATATCGGAGAGTTATCGGCATTTGTTTATATATAAGCCGCGCTACGATTCCGCCGGGGGATTGCGCAATCGCAACGGGCCGCAGGTGGTTATTGGCAAACAGAATTTGGTCACACTGGACGACGATCTGGGCGAGGTGCTCGGTCTGGTAACTGCAACAAATGTGATTACGGTGCTCACCGAACATGCTGTACTCTATCTACAGGTTTAGTTTGTATTTAAAATGGAAAAAAGAAAGAAACAACAAGAATTAAGCACGCCCTTTTTTTTATATATAATTATTGTACATCATTTATTGTACATCATTTGCATATTGAAATTTGAATTTGTTGTTTTGGCGCGCGCGCGCTTTGCAACACTGTCAGCTGTTGGCGCTGCCATATACACCGCATGGTGTATTAGGGCATTTGCATTATCTGGCAGCACCATGCATTTAATGCGTACAACCTTTTTTTTTTTACATAAATAGCCGCGCGCAGTGGCAGGTTTTCTAGTTTGTTTTTTTTTTTTTTTTGGAATTTTTGTGTTAAATAGCGCTGTCGTTCTCACGCTGGCAATTAGAAGTTAACAACTATTTATATAGCACAAACAGAATCGTTATTGCCGCCGTTCAAAATTGAGTTTCAAGTGAAATTTCGAGTTAATAACAGTGTGTGCATTTTTGTGGAATTGTGAAATTGTTGGTGGCGGCAAAACAGACATCGGATCGGAAAAGCGAACTATAAGCCGTAAGCAATTGGATCGCCAGCGCACCCACACTCATTAAAACACACACGCACACACACACCAAGCAGCAGCGTCTTCTAATTAGAACAACTCGCACACACACACACATACGTACATGTGCATGCACGTACATATGCGATATTAAAAAAAAAGTCTTGAAAGGCCCAGCCGCACATTTATGTTGTTGTTCTTAAGTGTGCACATGTATGTGTGTTGCTTTTTGGTGCAAACAGCGTCTATTATTAATAAATATTACAAATCGCCGCCAGCGTTGACGTTGCAGCTGTAACGGCAGTTACATAGTAAGCAAATACAAAAACAAAAAAAAATAGAAGAAAAAACAAAAAAAAAACACGCGGCCTGCACATTTTGTTGTTTTCATGCACACACACGCACACACATTCAACTTAGATGATACTAAATCTATATGTATATGAATTTCTTTTGTTTATTAAGCATATTGTGAAATCGTGGCAAAACAATCAACTAAAATAAACCACACAAGAACACAAACAGAAGTGCAAATTACAAAAACAACAGCTGCAGCAACAACTACAGCAAGAGCAGCGAAAAAATCGGAAAAACTAAAGAGAAGTTCGTTAAATTGACGTTGGTCAGTTGAGTTTGTCGTTTGGTTACACAACCAACAACAACAACAACAAAAATAAATTCTGAATCGGCATTCGAAATCAGAATCAAAACGTGTGTGAAAAACATCAGCACGCGGTCACACACAGACACACACACACACACAAACACACGGCACACAGAGACAGCGTCAGCGAGAGCGAGCAAAAGAGACAGCGCCAGCAGCGCAGACAGTAAGAGCGAGGGCAGCAGCACCAACAACAAACAGGTCATTTTTGCTTGTGCAGCCGTCGCCGCCGCTAGGCATCCTCTCTCTCTCTCTCTCTCTTCATATAATCCAAACGCCGAGAGCAACAGCTGAGCAGCATCCAACAAGAAGCCGAATAATTCTGATTGGAGCGCACGCGTTTGTTGCTTTTATCATTGTTCTACAGCATTTACCGGTAAGTGTTTGCCGTAATTCAAACTAGCTACTTCTACTATGCATGCGCGCATGCATGTGTGTATAATGTGTTCATTATTTGAATAAGTGCGTAATTTCAGTCTCTACAAGTGGGTTTGGGTCGTTTTTTTTTTTTTTTTTTTATTGATTTTTTGGCTCGTAATTACATGACAATTAGTTTTGTTGTTTAAGTAGCGCGTTTTGTTGTTGCCTTTGCCGCTGTCCAGTTCCAGGCCGTGCATAACCTTGACATTCGCTTTCCATACAAATTTATGTGCATGCCGATGGGTATGTGCGTATGTGTTTGACTGTGGCGTACGGCTTACACACTGTCCAATTGGACTGGAACAGCAGTGGCCTTGAGCATTTGGCCTGGAAGCTTCTAATTTGATATTTTAATCAACTTAGAAACTTATCACAGCATATACATATATGCATATGTGTATGCATGTATGTGTGCCTGCATATCATACGCGATTTATTGCATGTCACATTTCTGTGAAGTCATTCACATGCCAAAATCGGCAACTTGTTTGCGTTGAGAACAGCGCAACTTTTTATATATCTGATCACCAATTAGCTGAGAACGAGCTTAGCAAACCAAAAGCAAAAAAAAAATCAATATGCATATGCTACGGCTGCTGTGACGTCACTGCCGCATTACTCATGCACAAGTCGCGTGTGATAAACAAAAAGTACAATACATTTTAAACGGGTTTAAGTCCAAGCTTGTGGATTGCGGGTCTGCGGGAGGGTCCATGGAAGCTGTGAAGTTCAAGGCACTCGCAAAATTGAGAGTTAAGCGCCGAGAGAGAGAAAGAGAGAGAGCGTGAGAGGGAGAGAGATCAGCACACATACACGCACACACGAACGCACGCATGTATTGGTTGGTATCTGTTTTCTATGTATGTATGTGTGTGCTTCCCACATGGGCTGCAATTTCACCACAAGACAACAACAAGAACAACACCAAACTAAAGATAACCGAACAACAACAGCAAGCACTGGCAAATTTGAGAATTAGCATATCATGCTGTCCATAGACTCCCAAACATCATCGTGAATCAGCAGATATGGCCAACGCGCCATGACTCACAATAGGGCATGACACGACACGACACAATACGACACGATACGACACGACACGACACGACCGTGCTTGCATTTGGCCTCGCACATGACAGTTATGTACGCATAGACACGATCGATTGCTATCGGAATCATGCCATGTGCCGTGTGTATTGTTTATCGCAGTTACCGTAAAACCCACATAGATAACTGTTTATTGTGTTTGTTTATCTATTGTGTGCAATAGTCGACCTTGTCATTTATTAACTCATGAAACTGAGCCTCAATGACCCCCGGGTGCTTGACGCCGCCTTCCTTTGGGCTAATCGCAATGTCAAATGACGACGCAGAAACAACAAATCGGGGGAGGGGCAACAGAAGAGTGGAACAGGGGAACACACAAAATTACGGAAGTTTCTCGAATTGCAAATTCCCTATGAAGATGTGATGAAATACATACTTTATCAGTGTTGCACATTTAGCTATTTTATAGCCAACTTGTTGTGGATCTAATGCTGACATAGCTAATTTAGCTCTTTTTTGGTCAATTTTCTTTGAATAGCTAAATAAAATAGATTAGAAATTGGATATAACGAAAATACACATGAAATAACCTACAGCTAGGAAGGTTCGCGAATTATGAATAAAAAAAATGCAGATAATATATGATGAAATTCATATTAACTGAAAACTGTTTGTTTAAAGTGCATAATTCAAGAAGAAGAACTGTAAACGTTATAAAAGAATACATTTCAAGAAGAAGAACTCTAAACTTTATATAAGAATATCATTCAAGAAGAAGAACTATTAACTTCTTCACGAAATAGGCGCTTCTAAGCAGGGAATATGTATTTCAACAGATTTCACACATTATAAGATAATTCTGTAAAACATATATCTACTTAAGATCTAGATATACATCTCTTGATGCGCATATACATATCTATTTATCGGACGTGAGCCAGAATTTTGGTTCGAATCCGAACCGAAACTCGAAAGTCGGGCATTGGCTCAAACCGAAATTCTAGAGGTAATGTATGTGCTCATAAAGCCATAAAAGGCTAAATTATCTTGTCAAATATTTGAGCGTATTTGAGCTGCGTTGTAAATACATTTAGCCAGTTTTTAGATAAGACGAGCCACACTTGGACATATTTACGTCTTATCATTCATTATCATCAAGATCTAACAGTAACCCCCCCTCCCCCCGAAGGCATCGTCGCGAGGAAATACATTTCTGAACTGATGCGAAAAGTTGCAATATTTGCTTTGTGCTAATTTTACTTATTTTTTTCGTTTTCTTAAAATATTTTTTGTTTTTATGTGCAAAAGTTTGACAGCGACATGAAATGTAGTTCGATATGTTGACACTTTTAAAGGTCATGAATAACGACAAAGGTCTCGAAAGGGTAGAATGTTTACTTAATATGCATGTATCTAAGATTCAAATGGAGTCTATTTCCGTCTCGATAAGGTTTACTCTAGATCTAGAGCTTTTAGGTGCTAGCAGGAATGTCAACATTCCTGTCATTTCAAATTTGAAGAAGATCGGACAATAAACTCCGAAGATATTCGGAAGCAATTTCCTATTGTATTTGTATTGAAGACAACAGGGTAACTGCCAGTCGTGCACATCCTACTGAAGCAAACTTTTATTTTCTCGGCTTTCAACAAACTAATTCGCTTTCAATTTTTGAGCTCAGTTCAGCTTCTGTTGCTTAATTGACAATCATAAATACTTAACAAATTTTAGATAAATATCTGCTCAAGTGCGTCATCATCATTACCGTCATTATAATGATGATGATCATCGTGCTAATGATGATGACAAAAGTGTTTTGCAATTATTTTGCAGTGCGTCATTGTCAGAGCTGATGTTTAGTTTTGGAGTGCTTTAATTATTTGCACGCTTCCTTTACGCAATTGACTAGATAAATGATTAAAGTACAACAACAACAAAAGAACAACCATCATTGCACAAATCACATTTTGATACCCTGTAGCTTTTGTGAATGTTCTTAGATAGGATAACACAATAAAAAAATTCAATTTCTTAGCCTAAATTTATTTATTAAATGTACAAAAAAACAAAACCAATTAAAAATTGATAAACAATTGATAATTAAAAAAAATAGCATATTTTGCAACTTATAGAAAAATACTCAAACAAAATCCACTACAAAATGTGAATTTATTTCCAAGATCCACTTCAAAATGTGAAATTATTGCCAAGATCCACTTCAAAATGTGAAATTAGTTCACATATCCACAACAAAATGTTTAAGTATTTCTCAAATCCACATCAAAATGTGAAATCATTTTCACAAAAGAATGTGAAATTATTTCCGATTAGCAAAAGGAAATGTCGCCAAATCCAGCTTTAAAAGTGAAAAAGATTTCACAATAATAAACACAAATATAGGGTATCTGCTGGTCAGTGCACTCGCTCGTAGAGCCCATCTGCGTATTACTAATGAAAACCTGTTTAAACAAATTTTGTGAAACAAAATTAAAAATGTATTATATAAATATTATATTGAAGTTTCATCGTCATTTGCATTTGCACAAGTGCTTTCAACAATTCGATATCAGGTTCGATTCTTGTAGTTATTAATAAGACTACACGAAACAAAATAAATAAAAACAAAATAAAAAACACGAAAAGATGAAAAAACTGGGGCTAACACGTGTGGCTGTCATTTATGCGGATTCTGTTTGTGCTTAGACAAATAAAATTTTCACATAGAAACAAAAGAAAACAAAACGAAATTAAATTCTAGATAACTCAATATGTTTTGTTATTTGAAATGCCTCGATAAGCAAATGCTAAATGAACGTTAATAATAATTCTGATTGCATTCAATGGAATTCCAATCTGTTTTGCCATCTTTTAGCCGACCATTTATCAGTCTCAGCTGTTTGACTCAAGACTTTTGAGGAATATCCCTCCATTTTCCACCAAAGACCGTGGGCTTGGGCAATAATATGATATAACACATGCTTAAGCAGATCCATTCTTTTTTTATATAAAGTTTGAGACATATAGTTTCAACTTACGCCTATATTCGCTTATAACTGGCTGGAACTGAGCGTTGACAGTCAATCAGACATTAAGTCAGTCAATCAGTCAGTCAATCAGACATTAAGTCAGTCAATCAGTCATTAAGTCAGTCAATCAGTCAGTCAATCGGTTATTTAGTCAGGCAATCAGCCATTAAGTCAGTCAATCAGACATTAAGTCAGTCAATCAGTCATTAAGTCAGTCAATCAGTCATTAAGTCAGTCAATCGGTTATTTAGTCAGGCAATCAGACATTAAGTCAGTCAATCAGTCAATCAATCAGACAATAAGTCAGTCAATCAGTTATTAAGTCAGTCAATCAGTCATTAAGTCAGTCAATCAGTCAGTCAATCAGACATTAAGTCAGTCAATCAGACATTAAGTCAGTCAATCAGTCATTAAGTCAGTCAATCAGTCAGTCAATCGGTTATTTAGTCAGCCATTAAGTCAGTCAATCAGTCAGTCAATCGGTTATTTAGTCAGGCAATCAGCCATTAAGTCAGTCAATCAGACATTAAGTCAGTCAATCAGTCATTAAGTCAGTCAATCAGTCATTAAGTCAGTCAATCGGTTATTTAGTCAGGCAATCAGACATTAAGTCAGTCAATCAGTCAATCAATCAGACAATAAGTCAGTCAATCAGTTATTAAGTCAGTCAATCAGTCTTTAAGTCAGTCAATCAGTCAGTCAATCAGACATTAAGTCAGTCAATCAGCCATTAAGTCAGTCAATCAGGAAATCAATCAGTCAGTCAGTCCATCGGTCATTCAATCAGTTATTTAGTCACGCAATCAGCCATTCAGCCAATCAGTCACTTAATCAGTCAGATTGTCAGTTAGTCAATCAGTCAGTCAGTCAGTTCATCAGTCAGTC